TTACACTGACAAATTGTAAAAGTGCAAAAGAATATTCCTTCTTCATGTCATCAACCTTTTTAGAAAAATGTCCAGCATTTACTGAGAAATTTTCTTTGCAGGAGTCTATTAAAGGCTGTGACTTACCTCACCCGTTTTCTGTCACGCGACCGAGACCTCCTCTTGTCCCTGCTCCGCGATCTCTCACGCCTGCGGTCTCTGTCTCGACTCCTAGAGCGCCTGTCATCTCCACGTTTTGCTCTTTTGTCAGATGGAGAACGACTGCGGGAACGGCTACCAGAGCGCCCTCGTGATGAGGAGCGCTTCCGATAATGCCTACAGTCATATAACAACAGAAGGGTGAACACAAAGAATACAGAAATTCAAGTGTAACGGATGTGATAAACAAGTGCTCAAGACCACGATTAAAATTATTCAAAATGCTTCCAAACTATACTGTGAAAATATGTCATTTATTTTCAGTATTTTCATTACTGAATCAGTAAGAATTATAAGAGGGTTAGTCTTATAAAAGGGTTAGTCTGAGACTGAGACCAAGACTGAAATCTTTACAAACTCCTGGGATTCTCTGGGATAGTTGTTTTCTAGCAATCAACTTGATTGTAACCATTAAAACTACTAACTGGGAAATACTAGCTATGGAGCCCTAAATTCTTCTAAGAGTAAATAAAATGAAATATAAATTGTTAAGCAGAGGATATTATGTTATACATTCTAGTCTATTAATTTCTGGATTCAAAATAATAAGTGGAATAGTTAAAGAGGCACAATGGTAATAGCAAGGAAGTAGCTTATAAATTTTTCACGAAGAAAAGACAAATATATCTCCTGTCAGTTGATATGTATATATCCCCCCCTCTTTTCTCTTTGTATAAATACTGTTAATTTCTGGGGAAGGATACAATATGCTTTAGGTTATTGATAGAATTATAGAAAATACAACTCTATAATTAGCAATTTCCTCAGCCCAATACAACTTCCAAGAAATGTTGCTCACCACTCAAGTGAGAGTGATGTGCTCCAAAATGGAGGAGAGGAAGAATATATTTTCAGCCAAAAATTATTGAGGTGTTGGTCAAGCATGTATTTTAGCTCTAGCATATATGAATACGTAGGATATGTGTCAACAATGCTCAAATAAAGTACAGTCAGATTCTAAAGTACAGCCAAGTTTGCTAAGTACAGTGTACCCAAAATATAAATATAGGATTTACGTAAATAAAAAAAATAAAAAACCATCCTCTTTCCTATTTAACTATTCTCTTAAAGCATGGGTGTCAAACTCGTCATGTGACGTGTCACGACGTATCGCAACTTTTTTTGCATTGCCGGAGCTGGGGTGGACGCAGCCTCCGTATGATGCAACCAGCCCGCGGGACAGCAGTTTGACACCTCTGCCTTAAGCCTTTTGCAAAGCATAGAGTGTTGAGAAATTAAAGACAGTTGCTTGCTACTACCATAGAAAAGAGAACAATGTTGAAACTTTTTATGCTATATGGCACTTTACATAAAATAGGAAACCATCCTACACTAAAGAAAAAAAGCATCATGAAAAGCCCAACAAACATCAGAACTGAATTAATCACACACATATACTGAAAGAGGTGGCAACTATTTGATTAATACAATTATTACTCATTTACATAGTATATTTGTATTTAGAAATTGTGAGATCAAAAACTATTATTTTAAATAGATTAACTTACTGTTTTTGTTTGGACAACTGTTGCTTTGTTGATCTAAGGAAATGAGAGAGATTATGTAAGCAAGGTGATATCTTCTACTAAATCCCTTTTGGATGATTTCAGCATGAAACTGTTCAAACCTGCCAGCTTATTTTATATAATAATGAGCTTCCCCTATGAAGTATTCTGTGCAAGCTATTTCAAGTTTATTATGTGATTGACCAAACCCCATATCATGTAAATCATGGATATTTTTTAAGATTGTGCTATGCAACTGATTTCCCTTTTGCACAGGCTCCAACATTTGCAAAACAGCCTAATTCTAATAATTGTTCAAGAAGGATATCACTATTAGAAGTAAAACATAAATGGTGGAAATTTGTGTTCTCAGATATTTGATCCAATTGTTTCGAAATTTATTTATGCGATTATTCTGACAAGCAGCTGTGAATGACCCCCCAACCAATAAAAAAATCATATGCAACATTTTTAAGCCTTATACTTCAGTGCACAGGAAAATAAAGAAATCTAAGAAGCAGAACTAATGTGTACGTATATCCTGTATATATATTCATATTTATATAAAGTGCATTGCAAGAATGCCAGAATAATGTTAGTACAAGGGCTTGAAGAGTCTTGCTGAATTAAGATGTTGCAATAATGCAATTTTTTTAATAATAATGCAGTAGCATCTTTCACCAAGAGCAATCTGGCAATATTTTCCTGAACCTGGCTCTTCTCATGTGTTGTTCTTGTAATACTATCAATCACAAATCGTTCCACATGCCCTCCTAACTCGCCTATCCTAGATAAATTGATAAATGTGCAAAACTGACAAGGATTAGAGTGGAAAGCCACCGCGGGGAACGAAACAGCCAAATGAAAGAAAATTTGCGACAGAGATGTTTGAAGCCCAAATTACAACTGTACACAAGCCATAACCTTTTAAGGAGCATCAGTCCGAGGCACGCCGGGGGAAACGTGACAATAGACTTGTCCGAATAAAAGTCGCATTTAGACCGACGGCCTAATTGGACTTTAAGGCCGAGAAAGAACGTGGCCCATTGAGGAAAAGGCCAGAGGCCAAAACCAAAGGCAACACGGATGGCCCTTATCAGCCATGTTGCAAATCGCCTCGTGAATGCTTATTCCTATTTTGAAGCTCCCGAGTTTAAACTCGCGGCGTTATAAATAGTCCACTCTTAAATCCGGCGGCCACTCTAACGTCCAACGAGGCTCCACCGGTTCCTCGGCCTTCTCCTATCCTGCCCCGGCTCCTTCCTACGTCTTCCCCTTCGGCCCCAGGTACGGTGGAAAGGCCAAATCCGGCAAGCCCGCAGTAAACCGACAGCCAAGCCGGCTCCTGAAGTCCGCCGCCCCTTCGCGCCCTTTACCTCGATTCCCGACCCATGGCAGCGTCCCCGAAACCGCGAAGAAGTACGGCTTTCTCTCCCGAGTCGGCTCCTCAAAGCTAAGCGGCGCCTACGACCATTTTCCAAGAACCGAGCGAAGCGGAAATGCATCAGCGACGCCGAAAAGGGAAGAAGAGGGCCCAGATCATTTCCTACAGCCGGTCCACAGCAGCCTCTTCTGCCCGGCGGAGCGACCAGCAGCCGCTCTCCGGAGCTCTGCAGCCAGCGCGGCTGCGTATCCCGCCGGAATTTTAAGCTGGTGGTAACTTTGTCCTAAGAGTGCTTGAGGTACCATAACTAACTCGCCTATAGACAACGGTACCCCGCGTTGTAGCCGGCTATGTTTTTTAGGAGAAAACTGAGCATACCTGTGCTTTAATATTTATTCATAATCTGCTGCCAACTGGTCACGTGTTTATTTGTTCTACAATGGAAAGCATAAACATCAGATCCTCGACATGAAACGCGAATCCTCTTGATTTCATACTTTTGAGGGATTTGCCTGGGCTCACCATCTCTGATGACGACTCTCGGCGTGGCTTATCGGAACAATTCTTCTCTGCCCAGTTTTGACTCCACTATGGCTTAAAAATGTGGATCAGAAACAATTTTTTTTCTCTTAGTTCGGTTAAAAAAAAAGGTGGTACAAAAACCCACCGTCAAATCACTAATCATAAAGAATTACCGAAATACTGTTGGGACAATTGGTTGGGCAATTTGGGACCCTGCCACAGTGCAAAAGAAATGTCCTCTTGACTTCACTTAATTTTTGATGGGATCTTAATCTGTGGATCAATTCATAGAACACATTTGTTTGAACCCAGTGTCATGTGGTGTAAAATCAAGGATTTGAGACCAGGTTGTCTTCATTTGTTACTATTTTTCTATGTATCCACATGAAACAAAAATCATAGTTCTTTTACTGTAATGAGGAATTGCAATTAGATTCATTCTTTTTGGTCCCACACTGGTGCCAAACTGTGGATCTGATACATGGCTTCACATAATTTTATGTATAACCCAGCTGAAATTAATGTTAATTCGACAAATCAGAACATTTTGCACAGACCAACTACTAGAATCATAGATCTGAAGATTTTTACCAATATAGTACAAAAAACTTGGACTCAGCGCACAAATCCTTCTGAACGTTATTATATGCAACTGTCCAGAAAAATTTTCAAGCTGTTATCTCTTTTTCAATAGGCAGACAGGAAAAATCACAGTTGGTAAAGTTTGGTATTAAAATGGCACAAAATCAAAGAAACTAGTTTTCTAAAAAAACTAATTGCACTGTTTTACCTGAAATCATAGATAGACTATCTTTACTAATTTACTCTTCCATTATAGTCAGTTCTGGCAATGTCTGGCGTTCTCATGACAAGGCAAAATCTGTGACATATTCTCAAGAATCTTCATGGTATTCACCTTAAGACAGGGGTACCCAACCCTTGGTCCGTGGACCGGTACCAGGCCGTGGTATGCCTGCAACCGGTCCACACAAACAAGCAAAATCCCATCCGTGGGATGCAGGCAGCACACAAAACCACACACTCTCCAGTCTGCAGAAAAACCTTTCTTCATAGAACCAGTCCCTGGTGCCCAAAAGGTGGGGACTTCTGCCTTAAGAGATCATCAAGTAAAAGTAGATAGTGGATTTGAGGAATGAATTCTTATGGATCATATGGAAGATGAAGGATAACGCTGTTCTTATATAACAAGTTTAAGAAGAAATGTAGAAATAATCAGACTTTCCAAACAGGTTTGTTTTGTTTTACAGATTCAGGAAATGTTCTATCTAGCAGGCAGTAGGCAGGAAATGTTAAGTTAAGCTACAAAGGTTTGATTTATTTCCTTAATCCTCTTGAAACCAGAATCAGAAATAAGGAAAGTTAACAAAATCTGATCTTTGCAGACATTTTAATGTATATTCAAGTAATACCAAAGCATAAATAATTGTAACATATATAGCTTCAATGCATTTAACAGAATCAATGCAACAATTGCAACAATGTGATATTTTTACAAAGAAAGTCCAAATTGTGGAAAAGGAAACACACAAAGCAGCTTATTATTTTCATCATATACGTATTTTTAGACAGCACAGGAGAGCTGCTTCTTCATTGTGCTTGGAGAAATTTACTTTTAAACTATCAGGCTCTCTGCCCAATGATTTTCCTATTTGCATTTAAATACGTAAAATATATTAAAAATAAGGATGCCAAAAAACCTGCAAATATAGTGATGCCAGCAATTTCCTTAGAAAGGAGCCACATTTAAGAGGATATTTTACACATTTTTCAATGTGGTACCTATAGATTTGATTTTTTTTAAACCCAAATCTTGTTTATGACATGTTTTCTACCCCTTTTTCTTAAAAAAAAGTGTAGATGGGTGAATAAATGTTTTGTAGTGGTGGGTTTTAGAACATCAAAATTTTTGTTTTTATGGAGTAGGCATTTGGGAAAAATATGCAGATTTCCATCTTAATGTGTTGGCCATTAATTTTCTTATTTTTATCTGTTTTATCTTCTGTGGAATGAGTGCATCTTCTAGAATCACTATCCAAAAACACACTTTATCCTGTACCTGGGTCTTGGATAAGATTTCACTGTCAGAAATGAAATTTTGTAATGGACCATATTTACCATGGCAGGCATTGGGCAAAAATGCCTGAGATACTATCAAAATATCAAGAGTTGGGATTGATAGTTGTATACTTTACATCTGCTTTTCGAAGTAAAAATATATCAAACAAGATCTTAGATTTATGCTATTTTATCAATATTTGAAGGTCCATCATCAAAAATAGGAATTATAGGAATTTAGAAAAATTAAATGTGCAGAGTAAAAACTTAAAAATAGACTTTTTCCAAGGTAGTATTTCCATCATAGTTCATGTTGTAAAGAGACAAATTTATTTTTTAAATTAAATGAGACTGCATTGCCAAAACATGCCCATTTCTTTCTATGTATTTCAGCCATGACTTACTCTCCAAAACACTTTTTCCATTGAGCAGTGGTAAAATTTGGTTCAGTAAATGCAATCACTGAAATTATAATGTAAGGAAACTTATGAGTCCATTATAAAGGAAAAACCAATTTAACTTTCTATCAGATATTTAAAAACCCAACCGTGTCTTTAGTCTGTAAAATTAAATTATCTGTAATAATCATAGACAAAGCAAAGGAAATTTCCAGTTAAGTCAAGCTACCTGACAGCAGACACTTCAAAAATTAAAATCCAAGAAAAAAATAATGTAATTTTTTAGAATAATAAAAATATTCCACTGTATAATTTCTATCCTAATTTCAAATCTTTGGAAGACAGAACCACTTATGGGTACTGAGAATGGGCTACATATATGTAAGTGACAAGATGTAGGGAAGAACTGTAATATAAGAAAGGATTGCAAATACATGACACATCTTCAGCTCGTAACGGAGTCATAAAATCTAATGCAAATTAAGATCAACTAATAAAGTCTGCCATATTTTATGATTTATAGTCATTATGATTGGCTACATAATGTGAGATGAAAACATGTGGTAAATTGCTTGTATAAATACAAAACAAAAAAGGCTACCAATTTTAAAACTATGTTAAGGCTTGACTGTGGAGAAGGCCAAGAAATAAAATATTTCAAAAAGGAACATCTTTGCTAAGTTTAGTGAAAGATACTTCAAGTAATTGTTTTCAGATGTGTTTATAAGAACCAATTTATATGATATATTTTTAAATTAGCATTCTAATATAAACAGACTGTATTCTTTGCTGTTTTCTAAAATATTATGCATATTAAACACTTGACTAACATTGGGGTAAAATACTAATTTGCACCTACTTGAGCTGCAATATACCTTGGTGTTTAGGTAAAGATGCTAAACATCACATGCACATATTTTTGAAAAGAAAATATATGGAATAAGATACCGAGGCTTGACATAACTTGTAGTACAAAGAAAAAAAATCTAAGATTGACTGAAAAGTCAGAGATGAATAAAACTGGTGACACTTAACTACTCAAAGGGCTAATAATCCAAAGACCAGTTTTTCAATCTGCAGTGTCCATTTAATGCAGCATATTCAAAATTCATGTAAACAACAGCAAGATTTCAATTCAAATGGGAACGTATATAAATGTTAAGTTAGATTGCGCTGCTGTTATTAAATTCACCTTTCTATATTAACAGAACATTACCACCTGTAATGAAGACAAAAAAACAATTTGACCCAGTCTAATTACATTCCTAAAACCAGAAACTTCTGAAGTTTATCAGCATTTTTATCAGCATATGCCACTTGCTCAAAAATATGAACTAGTATATTGAAGTGGTATACATTAACACAGAGGAATAACCTTAAAAGATAATTCTGGTTGGATTCACAGTAGATCCGTTTCCATTTGTGGAAAAGATCAAGATTCAAGCATGGGCTTCTGATGGGAGGAAGAAAGAGAAGCATTACCTATTATCCCCTTCAACTGTCTGTGCCATTTTATATGATGTTGCAGAGGGTACTTATCCCAGTGTTTTGAGGGGCACATGAAATGGAGGAACTGGCCAAAATAGCTTTCCCACCTTTTCTTTAACAGGGGCTTCAATGTAAGTTCTACAAACAAGAATTCTGGAACAAAGCCATAAAATGTAATTCGGTCAACCACACAACACCTCAGTTGTCTTGGGGTTTCATGTCCAACGAGAAATATTAAAGTAAAAGGTGGCAACTGCAATTAATGAGAAAACAAATGTCTTCCTTAGTAGCAGGAAAGGCCCACTTTTGAAACATTGTTACTGTTTTCCATGTTTGAGACCACACATATCAAACCTAACCTGTAATAATTCACCCTCATAGTTGGGAATGTGGCATTTCCTTCATAGCTATAATTCAAGTACACTGAATTAGGAAAGAAGAAAGAACTGATGAACATTTAACCCTGTTTGTATATTTACAGAGGGGTATGAATGAACTCAAGACTAAATAATCCTGCTGATGTATTGAATCCCACAGCTATTATCATGGCACTTCTGAGCCAAAAAACACAAACAGTTCATGACAGAAAATGAAAGTAAAGAAATAAACACAAAGGTCTGTAAAGACATCTCCCATTTTGCTGTAAGTGTCCATGGAACGACTAATTACTTCTGCAGGGATTCCAGACAGTAAAAGAGCAGCAGTTAATACTGTAGTTTTTGTCTTCTTTTCACTCTGTGCAAAAAAAAAAAAGAACAAAGTTTATTTTTTTCAGAATTTTCATCTTAAAGCATCTTATTTCATTTTAAATGTTATAGAACCTATTCTTCTCCCATAACTTATTCCAAATATCTAAAAGGAAACAATTAACTTAGGATCACCCAAAGAATTCTATGGTTGACTAAGAACATGAGTCTCCCAGTTCTAAGTCTATCATATCAGTCATCACTAAAGTGAATCCTCCACCCTTGGTCACTCCAAGTTTGAAATGTTGAGAATCGTTTTTTTCTAATAAAACACTTACCTTGGGGAAATACTTTGACAGTCCCATATATGCAAGTTGTAAGGTAAGGAATGGAGCAAATATTGACTGTAGAGAAAAAAAAAATAAAAAATTATATACTTTAATAATCATGAGAAATCATACCAAACAGATGCTTTCAAAGAAAGCGTCTATTTCTTGTAGAACATCTCAATGATTTAACTAAAAAAATTAAAAAAGAAAAAGCACTTTTTAAAAATGCTGCTATCAAACACAATGCATTTCAGAGTAACTCACAGATATTAAGTATATTTAGTCACTGCTACAGAGATGGGTGGAGGGTGGTTATCTACGATAATATTAAATATTAATATATTAACAATAATTAAAAGCAGGCCTATCGCTTATTTCCAATATAAAGCTCTTTGAGCATCCAGTGCATAGTATTAAAATGCATTAGTTAGGATTACTTTGAAGGGGTGTTTGTCAGCTGTGCTTTAGGACTATCCAAATGGTTAACAAAAAAGAAAGTACACAGCCACTGCTTTCTCCCTGGATTTCCATCCCCTTGTAATGCTTAATTGATATCAAGAATGAAGTGCAATAATAAGTTACAATTCCCTGACATTGTTTCTAGTACAATTACATTGCCAGTCAGGCACTTCACAAATGGCGCAATTCACAACAGTCACAGCATCCCATGGTCTTCACAGCTGGATTCTGACAAGACAACAGAGAAGCTGGCAGTAAGTTGCAAGTTGTGGTCACATGACGCCACACTTAACAATCATAGTAGAACTGACATTGTAAGTCTGGCATGATCATCTGATGTTTTGCTTAATGACTGCATAACTTAGTAATGGAGTATCTGGTCCCAACTGTGGTTATTGAGGCTTACCTGTATTTACTTACTGTAAAGATGCTCTGAAGAACAGACTTTCACACAGTTCTTAACAATTACTGCTAGAAACAATAGATGGTTTTATGGATTTGGACCTGAATTTACTTAGCCATGAGAAAATAATTGGTCAGCATAAATACCCCATACAAGTACTACTTTACAGGCCTGTGAGCAAGGCAAACAAGGCAAAAAAGGGGAGTGAAATGAAAATGAATAGCAAGATATTTTTAAAAACAAAAACTTACTAAATATTTGCATACAAAAACTCTAACGCCAATGGCAAGGAGTGCACAGCCCACCAATCTAAAAATGTGAAAGGAATCAAATTCCTCCACAACACTTCCATTTTCTTGACTTGGCTTCTCATTCATCAGCTGGTTTCTGAGCTTCATCGCTTCATCAAACCTTGATAAATACTGATCTAATCCATGGCGTGGTGCTCTCTGTGGAACGTCCAACAGTTCCCCTCGATTGCGTTGCCGGAGCTCACTGCTGCCATCACTACCAACTTCATGAGTTTTGCTAAATAAGTCTATTTTCTCTCCTTTGTGCTCTGCTAAGCTGCTTGTGTGGTCAGCCATTCCTGATAAGCTGCAGACTGAATCACCAAGCACAACCCGTTTGGAAACAGGAGCAGGAAGGGAAATTGGTTTATCCTGTTCCAGCTGAAGCTTAGTTTCTGAATGAGTATCATCATCTAAAGAGAACAGAACAAAAACTGAAATCATACCACAAATTTGAAGCTGATAATAAATTCTTAGAGACGTAAGACAAAATACAGGATGTCAACAAATGATACGAGGCTTCAGTTAACTGGAGTCGTCTTCTACATAACCATATTTAAAATTCATTCTTTCCCACGTGTACTTCTTTAAATATAAATATTATTATCAATTGCCCATACTCACAACAGATTCAGAAAAGTACAAGAGTTCCTTGACTTAAAGATGGAAAATGGTGATCATGAGATCCTGGAACACTGAAATAGGCAGAAATATATGCCAGTTACCAAGCACCCAAACTCTGATCACTGAGGGAAGTGTGATCGTCATAAATGAGAGGACCAGTCATGTCCCTCTTTTCAGTATTGTCATAACTTCAAATGGTCGTTAAATGAATGGTTGTAAATCAAGGACTATCTTATTGTATGTATGTTCAATAATATTTTCTGCATAGAATATATGTTTAGGAATTGTGCCATATGTAACAAATCTTTTAAATATTATTAATATAACTTTTTCTAGTCCATTTATCTATAGCTCTCAGAGACATTAGCAAATATATTTATGCATAAATTTTAGAAGTGCATCCCAATCTGAAAGGGAAGAAAGTTGCTGAAATATAAAAGAATGCACACACATACACACTCATATTCTTTATTTTTTTTTTACATTCCCTCAATTTTTTCTTGCTCCTCAAAGAATCATATGCCCTACAGTAAATGTTCCATTGTTAATCATAATGAGAAGCCTCAGAAATTATCTATGTACATCCTAAATGTCATTATAAAGCAATATTGTGTGCAAAAATACAGTGGCGCAAAACTTTCAATTGCTCAAAATAAATAAGTAAATCCCCCCTGTAATAATCATCTCTCAACTAGTTTCACATTGGCTTATTATTGGAAAAATATTTAAAAGATCAATGGTAATCATGTAACGTACTGCCTAGAGCAGTGGTGACGAATCTATGGCATGCGTGCCAGAGGCAGCACTCAGAGCCCTCTCTGTGGGCACACGTGCCATGCCCTGGAGATGGCAACTGTTCCTCTTCAATCAGCCGACCACTAACTCACTGAGGTCCCATGTGGCCGGATGCATCCCAGCACAGCTGGTTTTCCTCCCCTCCATCCCATCTCTCGCATGCTCTCCTTTTCCCAGGCACGACTCACTATATCGCCTCCTTAGCTGTTGGCTAACCATCCAGCTCAGAGGCAGCTTCTCTGAACTGCTGGTGGAAGGCTGCGGAGCCCCAGAATGCACCGGTCAAGAGGCTGGCAGGCTGTGGCTGCTGACGGACACTGTCGGCACCCATGCGCTCGCCTTGCCCTGCGAGAATGGCACCCCCGTCCTGCCTTGCCTCACCCCGCAGGATGAGCCTCCTGCCCACCATCCCAACTGCCAGAGACCCCCTGGATTTCTCTCAACCCTGCCGGGCCCCCACAGGCGTCCCTCTCCACGAGCAACATCGAAGTGATCACGCCCGCCTTGGCCACACCCATCCAGTCTGCCATGACCACCACAGCCACGCCCACCAGTGGGCCACGCCCATCTAGCACCCGGCGATAAATAAGTGGGTTTTGGGTTGCAGTTTGGGCACTTGGACTCTAAAAGGTTCGCCATCACTGGCCTAGAGAGTTCAACTAGTCACTCATTCTCACATCCTGTTAACTACAGAATTAAGATATTCTCTAACAATGCTTAGAAAACCTAATGAAGTCATATTTAATGCATCTCCAGCCCTCAATAAAGTCATCTTGAAATGAAACCTATTCTGTCATAAGGAATAAGTTGGCTTACACAAGTCTGATCTTTGTAGATATAGACAGATCATGGTATTTGAACATATTTTCCAAGGCCTTCATGGTTGCTATTCTGTGGCATATCTCTTGACTGCTGATTTCTTTACTGTTGATGGTTGAGTCAAAAGGCAGAGGCTATCCATCACTGCACTATCTTCTAAGGATGGTTATTCTACTTATGTCATTAACTTGGTCTTCTTTATATTTTAGTCCCATTTTTCCACTAGGGTAAAGTAGTCCTCCACTTACAACCATTTGTTTAGTGACTGTCTGAAGTTACAATGGCACTGTAGCTTATGACTTATGACTGGTTTTCACACTTATGACCATTGTAGCATCCCTATGGTCACATGATCAAAATTTGGGCACCTAGCAACCTGCATGTATTATGGCAGTTGCAATGTCGCAGGGTCATGTGTTCACTAGCAGGGTTCCAACAAGCCAAGTCAAGGGGGGAAGCCAGATTCATTTAAACTTCATATGATTCTCTTAAAACCCGTATCATTCACTTAACAACTGCAGTGATTCACTTAACAACTATGGCAAAAAAGGTCATAAAATGGATCAAAAGTCACTTTATGAATATCTTGCTTAGCAATGGAAATTTTAGCCTCAGTTGTGGCTGCAAGTCAAGGATTACCTTGCTTGATTTTTATTACTACAGCTTGCAGATCCTTTGCATTTTCAGCTGCAAGGGCAGTGTCCTCAGCGTAGCACGCATTGCTACTGGCAAGACTAAAAATGTAATAATTCTCTTACAAATCTCAACTCCTTTGATTTAAAATTTAAGATAGCAATTAAGATACTACCAATTAAGCTAAAACGCTATTTACTAATATAAGGTTTCCTTGATTAGATTAACTCACAGATGTTGTGCTTTTATTAAAGCCATTCAAATTTGATTTTTTTTTCCCTTCCAAAATGAGAATGCTGTTCCCGAACAACCTACAGTATAATTATTTACAGACTATCAAGTCAATTTGACTGTGCTGGTCCCATTTAACAAATTACGGTTTTAAAATATATCAGAAAGCAATTCAATATTTCCATTATTCATGAATGACGACTCCTTCTACATTTGAGGAGCTTGAAGCGCCAAACATCTGGCCGCTACCTAAGTCAGCCGTTTCCAGTGTTGCTGGAAATAAAGTTTTGCTGCAAAAAAGGCCAGATTTTAACCTCGGGGGATGACCAAACGAGTACCGGGCGAGAGGATTTGAGAAGATGAGGAAAAGGGGACCCCCGCCGTATCCCCTCCTCCCTCCGGCAGTGGCCCGGAGCCCCCGATCCCAGGCCACGCCCCGTCCTCACCCGTCTTCGGCCGATGGAAGCCCATGATGCGATTGATCCGCTCCTCCGAGTTCATCAGGAGCTTTCGCCGGCGAATCTCGGCCCGCCGCTGAGAGGCAGTGAGTCCGCTCAGCGGTGGGGAAGATCTACCGGCTCCCTCATGGTGGCTGCTATCACAACCCTCTCTTTCCACGAGATCCGGCTCCATGACCCGTCGGTCGCCGAAAGAGCCGCGACTACCTCAAGGCTTTCTCTCCTCAGGTATACGATGGCAATCACCAGGCCCCTCTCCGACAGCCGCTCTCTAACGCGCAAGCGCTGCTGGCGCCATTTGAGGACCGCCTTCAGATGCTGAAACGAGCGATGCCATCTTGGATGAGGGTCTCCCTTTTAGAGCGAGTGCGGCAGCGCGGTGACGACGGCAAGTTGAAAGCAATTGTACGGAAACTGCCGACCCTTAGCAAAGATGGCGGAAAAGGCTTCGGGAGTGAAGTGGGTGAAAAGGATGAAGTTGAGTATGATCTCATCGGTTAGGAAAATCATAATCGCTTTCGTCATGATCAACTCCGGGCTGCTTCAGGCGGGGCTCCGAGGATTTCAATTGGACAGCCAGCTAATAGCGGCAGTTGATGGTTTATCCCCTAAATAATTAAGGAAGTACCAAAATTATTTTCCATTCTAATCCCAAAAATATTTGCAAGGAACGGGCAATAGTGCCGCTAAGCTAAAGTCAAACCACAAGGTGATTTTTTTTTTTTTTAGAAAAGTGCTATATGTTCAGCCTGGTGATAAATATTAAAGGCCTATTTTAATGTAATAAGACTCCATGGATAGTTATTAGAAATTTTTGATAATGCAACCGAACTATGAAAGAATTCGATTCAGAACTTAATAAACTCCTAATTACGGTCTTGTCAGTACTTAGGCAAGGATTTTGTTTTCCAAGTCTTTGGTTTGCATATATTTATTTTAATTCGGGCATAAAAATTATTTTACTCTTCATCCTTTATATTGAGCTTTTTTTAAAAAAATGATTTTGTGCTAGATTTAACAGAGTAACAGTTGGATTGGACCTCGGAGGTCTCCTAGTATCCTAGTCCAACCCCTTGCTCAGGCAGTAAATCCTGTACCATTTCATACAAATGGTTGTCTAGTCTCTTCTTAAAAACCTCCAGTATTGGAGCATTCACAACTTCTGGAGGCAGGTTGTTCCACTGGTTAATTGTTCTAACTGTCAGGAAGTTTCTCCTTAGTTCTAGGTTGCTTCTCTCCTTGATTAGTTTCCATCCATTGCTTTTTGTCCTGTCCTCAGGTGCTTTGGAGAATAACTTGACCCTCCTTTGTGGCCGCCCCTGAGATATTAGAACACTGCTATCATGTCCCCCTCGTCCTTCTCTTTATTAAACTAGACATACCCAATTCCAGCAACCGTTCCTTATATGCTTTAGCCTCCAGTCCCCTAATCATCTTTGTTGCTCTTCTCTGTACTCTTTCTAGAGCAGTGGTTCTCAACCTTTTTAATGCCGCGACCCCCAACCGGTTGTAAGTCGAGGACTAAACCGGTCGTAAGTTGAAGACTAAACCGGTCATAAGTCAAGGACTACCCAACCGGTTGTAAGTCGAGGACTTTCCCTGCCCGGGAGCGTCGCGTATGCGTGGTGCCGCCCCCTGCGCCGGCCGAGGCGTAGCTGGCAAGCAGCAGAGACGGAGCAGGCCGACCACTGGCTGGGCCACCAGCTGGCCCAGCCCAAGGGAGGTAAGGCACCCGCCGGAAAAGGGGGAAAAAATGGTGGACAGCCTTGCTTGGCGACCCCTGTGAAATGGTCGATCCACCCCAAATGGGGTCGCACCCCATAGGTTGAGAACCACTGTTCTAGAGTCTCAACATCTTTTTTACATTGCGGTGACCAAAACTGGATGCAATATTCCAAGTGTGGCCTTACCATACTTGGTAAATGGTATTAATACTTCATGTGATCTTGATTCTATCCCTCTGTTAATGCAGCCTAGAACTATGTTGGCTTTTTTGGCAGCTGCAGCACATTACTGGCTCATATTTAAACGATTGTCCACTAGGATTCAAGATCCCTCTTAATTACTACTATACAGGTGGGACCAGTGGTAGGATTTAGCCGGTTCACACCATTTTGGCAGAACCGGTAGCTAATTTTTGGTTGCCGAGGCCCAGAATGGACTTCCCGAAGCAGCATCCACATAGAGAACCAGTTGTTCACATATTTGAATCCCACCACTGTACCACCTATACTGTACTTGTGCATTTGGTTTTTCTTGCCTACATGTAGGATCTTACTTTTTTCACCATTGAATTTCATTTTGTTAGATAGCGCTCAGTGTGCAAGTCTGTCAAGATCCTTCTGTATCTTAAGCCTCTCTTCTGGAATGTTGGCTATTCCTGCCAGCTTGGTCGCCTGCAAATTTGATGAATTTCTCATCTATCCTCTCATCCAAATCATTGATGAAGATGTTGAAGAGTACTGGGCCTAAAACAGAGACTTGGGGAGTATAAGTTGAATGCAGTTGGTCAGCCATTTATTTATCTTTTTTTTTATCTTATCAAGTAGTAGTTTGTGGTCCATTTTATCAAATGCCTTACTGAAGTCGAAGTAATTATATCCATAGGATTCCTCTGGTCCACAAATTTTGTCACCTGGTCAAAGAATGCAATAAGATTTGTCTGGCATGATCTGTTTTTAACAAAGCCATGTTGGCTTTTGGTTATTACTTTGTTTACCTCTAGGTGTGTTCTGATTTGTTGCTTGATTATCTTTTCCAGAATATTCCCAGATATTGAGGTCAGGCTGATAGGTCTGTAGTTTCCTGGATCTATTTTTTCCCCTTTTTTGAAGATGGGAACTACATTAGCTCTTTTCCAGTAGTTCCCCAGTGCTCTAGGATCTTTGAAAGATACAGATCAGTGATTCTGATATCACGTCTGCCGGTTCCTTCAGAATCTTGGGGTGTAATCTATCTGGTCCTGATGATTTGAACTCCATCTAGGGTGGATGGGTGCTCACTTAACATTTTCTTGCCTATTTTAACTTATATTCCTGTTTTTTAGGATACCGTTTTTGAAAAGTTGGACTGTTTTTTCCTTTTGTGTAAAGATGGATGCAAAAAACGAGTTAAGAAGTTCTGCTTTCTCCCTGTTGCTTGTCACCTTTTTGCATTAATGGACCATTAATGCAGGTATCACCTATATTAGTGGTATTAGTGGACTAATCGTTTCCCTGACTTTTTTCTTGTTTTTTCATGTTGAAAGAAGCTCTCTTTTTTTTGTTATTTTTGACTTTTGTCATAAGCCTTAGTTCATTTTGAGCCTTAGCTTTTCTGTCTTAATCTTTGCAGACTGGGGCTATTTGCTGATATTTTGCCTTAGTTATGTGCCCCTCTTTCCACTTTTTGTACTTGTCCTTTTTGTCTTTCAATTTATCAAAGAGTTCTTTATGCAGCCATGCTGTTATTTTTCTTCTTCATTGGTATTGTGGTAGACTGGGCTTTTATAATTTCACTTCTCAAATTTCCCAAGCTTCTTGGGTTGTTTTTCCATTGAGAATTCTCATCCATAGAATCCTTCCCAAGCTCTAAGTTTATTGAAATTAGCTCTCTTATAGTCCAAGATTCTGGTTTGATTATGTTCTATTGCTTGCGCATGCATAATGTTGCATTCCAATATTGCATGATCACTCCCCCCAAAGTTCCTGTAGCTTCAACACCTATCATTTCATCTCTGTTAGTGAGTTCAATATGGCTGATCCCCTAGTTCCCTTCTGTACTTTTTGGGAGACAAAGTTGTCTGCTAGATTTGTCAGGAACCTGTTTGATCCTCCACTGGGTGCAGAGTTTGTCTCCCAATTGATGTCAGAATACTTAATGTCCCCCATTACTATTGTGATGTGCTTCCTACATACCTTAGTTAACTGACTAGCAAAAAGGTCATCTGTTTCCTCTGTTTGGTTAGGTAGCATATACCTATAGTATACATCTATGGCAATGTCATTCCCCCCTTTTATATTGACCCAAATGCATTCGAGACAGTTTTCATCATTGTTGTGCTCTATTTCTGCAGAGATGTAGTTATTTCTTATATATAGTGCAACTCCACCTCTTTTATTTAGTCTATTTCTTTTAAATAATTTAAGTCCATCTAACTGTGTATTTCATTTGTGTGTTTCATCCCACCAAGTTTCCGTAATGGCAACAATATAATATCTGCCCTCATTTGCTTGAATTTCTAATTCACCCTGTTTATTCCTCAATGCTCTGTGCGTTAGTATATAGACATTTGAGTCCTTTTTGACTGACCCTGTGTTTACTTTCTATATAACCTGTTTTGTGCCGGAGTTTCCCTACTTCCTTACCATTTGTTTGATTAGTGCACATGGTATGGCACATACTATCAAAAGCTTGATTTTCCTTGACAGCAAGGTTGATATTCTTACCCGCACAAACATCTATATTACAAGTACTGATAGTCCTATTAGTTTTAGATTGCTGAGGACAAAAATGTTCTGTATCAATTAATTCTCTGTCCCCATTGTTTACTTTAAATGTTTCTCAGGAAAATATGTGGATTTAATGCCAAGTAAACTTGTTTTCTGTTAGTTTATTAAAATAGTTTAGATTTATTTGGTGTAATTGAATTTCATGTTTTTACTGAGTTGTAGGTTTTGCTAACTATAGAGCTAATTGAATTTAAACAAAAATGCCACAAATGTAATGTTTTGTAACACTTCAGGTTAAAAGTGATTAGGAATGATTTATTATTCATTTTGAGTGCTACAAATCAGATCCAATATATAGACATGGTCTGGAATAAATGAAGAATGGTGAGGCAAAGAAAAACTTAGAGGAAGTGGAAGCAGGAATGTTGGGAGAAAATGATACAATGTTGGAAGTCTTGATTTTAAGGGGAAATAAAGCTGAGCACAGTAGAGCATGTAATCTAAGATTTTAATAAATTCAATAATGTTATCCCATGTCCGAAGGAGCTAATGGGGAAAAGCTTAAAATTTAAGAGCAAGGGTGGGCAATTTATTTTCCCAACTGGGGCTTTGGAGGTGCATAGGCACATACCCACATACATACATAGATTGAAAAACAAATAGCAATTGCCTTCGAAATAAAAGCAATGCAGTGGTATTGTGTGTATGGCCTACAGTTTTTTATATATGATTTCTAATTTCCCATTGACTCTATATGGGCTGGATATGGCCCTGGAACCATAAAACGCTCAGGTCTGGCTTAGAAAAAGGGATTTTAAAAGAACTAAGCAAACAATTTCAAAGAGGAAAAAAAGGTAGGACAGTTAAATAAGTCAGTGGGGCTAATGAAAAGGGGGAAAAAAGACAAATTTGAAAAGTAAACAATGTTAGGATCATGGACATTTGGATGTATCGTAACAAAGTACGGAAGGGCCGAGTTGCATCACATCTTGTGTTTTATTATTTTGACAAAATCTCGGCTTGCAAAGACCAGACCACAAAAAAGGTCACATAATTCAGAATAGTAGAATCAGTGTCCAAAAATCAACATTGCAGAGTGAGCTAATGTACATATAATAACAAAAAGGGATTCTTGGATGCTTTCAAAATAAAATATTCATTATAGTAGCTACTCAATAAAGAAGTTCAAATATTAAAAGAATAGCAAAGAAAGCTACTCAATTCCAACTTTGGATCAGATTCAACAAAAAAATTGTTTCAAGAAACTGATGGCAAAAATTGAAGCTTGAGTTCAACATAAAGAGGATCTAGAGAAACTTCCATATTTTGGATTGGTTTAAAACCTCAGGATCAGATGTTTGTATCCAAGGTTATTGAACGAACTAACTATAATCTGGATGAATTCTTACATATTATTAGAAAACCTGGAAATTACTAAAGTGCCAGATGGCTGCAGAATAAATGTTGCCTGCAGAAATACCGTTGACAAAATATGCCTTGAGTTAAAGGAGGTTTTGGATAAAGAATTGCATATTATGCTGAAGAGCAAGCTACTTAAAAGTGGGCTTTATGGCATGACAACAATTGACTTGAAAATTGTACTCAGAAATTTTGTTCTTTAGATTTGAGGTATCAAATGGAATACCGGTAGGAACAGTTCTGTGTCTTCTACTAATTATTTTCGTTAATGGTTTGGTTTTAAAGACCATATTTTTAGCCCAGGGTTGTATGTTGTTTGAGTGGTACAACACATTAGAGATTGCAGTCCAAAAATATAGGATAAGGGCAGAATTAATGTTGATCTCATTTACATGTCATTCAAATGTAGTTTATATTACTTTCCATCTTTTTAATTTTTTCCAGTTGTCACATTAAAAGTTAGAATTTGGTAACTTTTGGAGAGAGATGCACACACAGGCTTTCATAGGCCATATGGTTCCCTACAGTTCATGTGTTATATTTCTGCTATTTTCATATTTTACTCCCCCCCCCCATTTCAGAACTATATTCCACCTTTGTGTTGTTCCTTGGGGACAACACAAAGGTTTACAGTTAGTCCTCAATTTACAACTATTCATTTAATGTCCGTTCAAAGTTACAATAGCACTGGGAAAAGTGACATGATTGTTTTTCACACTTACAATATTGCAGCATCCCCGGAGTGATGCTGGACAACTGGCATGCATTTATGATGGTTACAGTGTCCCAGGGACATGTGATCACGTTTTGCAATCTTCTGATGAGCAAAGTCAATGGGGAAGCCAGATGCACTTAACAACCATGTTACTAACAACAACTGCAGTGATTCACTTCATTGTGGCAAGAAGGATTGGAAAATGGGGCAAAACTCACTTAACAATTGTCTTGTGTAGCAATGGAAATTTTGTGCTCAATTGTGGTTGTAAGTCGAGGACTGCCTGTATAGGGGAAGGATATAAAGGATTATAGGGGAAGAAAAACAATAACCTATTGGATCTACAGCTTTAAGCTTGTTCTTCACTGAATCCAATCATATATGTTCAGTTACTTATTTTTAGCAAGTTTAGCAACCTCAGAAACATAGTTCTAAATGTTAATTTTTGCCTTCTGTTACATTGTTCTTTGATATGAATACTTTTCCTCTTATATACTATATGTAATATGTATTTTCAAGGCTGAAGAAATTGGTAATAATTTATCATAACTTTGAGACTAATCATTGTACAAAGATCCTTAAATGTAAGCTTTCTACCAAGTATATCTTTGCAGAAGGGAGTAGGATCTTGACAGGAAAAGAGGGGTAAAAAATAGTGCAGGTAATAATATACTACATATAACTGATAAAATCCTGCAAGCCAAACCAAATTCCTCATGATTTTATAGATAGGTGTTGATAACAAAGAAGTGATTTGCCATTGTTTTTTTGTGAGATAACTTCCCAGTCTAACTTTAAGCCTTTGTTTTCCCTTAAAGTTAGAGTAATTATAATGAATAAACTATTTCATGCTGTCTAAGAAAAGGCTGGCTGAACTACCTTTGCGAAAAATAATAAAATACTTACAAAAATGTTAATCTTTCATGAACAATTAATTCTAAGCTAATTTAATAAAATGTTATACTATTCCAAAGAAATACTGAAGTTTTTAATTCACTTTCCAAAGTTTTTATGTACATAGATATACTGGTTATTGTGGACAGGTTGAGATATAATATTTTCTGATATTGTGCTTTATCCCTCAGAAAATAGAAGAGCCTAATACGATTAGTGAAATTTTAAAAATACATCATTTAACTGGCTTAAAGATGATTAATTGCAATTTTCAGAGGAGCATTCTAATTAATGGTCAGTCCATCATGTTTTAGTCAATGACTCAAAGATTCTTTACATTATAATTCTGCATATTTACTTAAACTAATTGCTGAATATGAAGTTTACCACATCAGAAGAATAAATAATACTTGCTTCTGGTAATAATACATTAAAATGCTTGTTTTTCAATCAATTCACAATTTGCACTGCATTTAAACAGCATTAATCCCCAGGTCTAATCCTTCATAGAAGTACCTCTTTATGTACTGAAAATCATTTTATTCATTAAATGATCAGCTAGTCTCTGCATATTCCATTTTAGTTTATAAAAACACTGATAAAATTCTATGCAAGCTCTTTCAATTAATTTTATTGAGTAGCCAAATTTGATAAATTAGCACAGCTAAAATAAGCATTTGCATGTGTTACAAATGACTTTTTACAGGAATAAAACAGTGAAAATTACAAACTGTAAAAAGGGGAACAAGTAAAACTTTGCCTTCAAGTCAGAAGAGCAAGGTTTACAATTGCACACTAAAGATCAATGTCTGAGTTCAGAAAACAAGGATTAATATTACAATATTTTACACTACTTTACAAAATCAAATTTACTGTAAGAATTTAATATGTAGTTAGTGAAGAGAAGTCTTGTCACATTTGATGGTCCCTTAAATTCTGAATGATATATATATGTTCTGTTAAATTAACCTTGAATAAACAAGTTTTTCCGCATTACTGCAAAACAATCAGAATTTATTCAAAGCAAATTAAATTACAGAAAATGCTAATATGTTGTTGCACGATCAAACCTAGAATATTGGTAAATCATACTAATTATTTAAAATCTTGAACTAGAAAAATAGAGAACATCTGCTGGTGAATGCCATGCTGAGATGGGACCATCAAGGCTACTCTTGCTTACTTATGTTATTAAAGAACCTAAAACATATAAATTGTGATTTAACATTTATACATGGGTCTGCCCTGGATTTCTTAAGAAGTTGAGGAAGGTATCAATTTTCTCCTCAGAAAGAGTTAGAAAATTCACTTCTATTTCAAAGTGCATGAACTTTCTAAACAGTATTCTATCCAAAGAGCATAATATGCTCACAGGTAACATTTTTAGAGTTAGGGATGTATTCTTGAAATATGTTTATTGGGTTCCATAATTCATTCAAAGTCCATTATCTTTATTTTACATGAAGTAAAATAAATGTGCCTATACCATGCCTTTCCCTCCTCTCCATGCAGAAGATTTATACAGAAAAGTTAGGCATGGTGCTGCTCGTAAGGATTTTACCATTCAAGTTCTACAGAATCTGATCACATCAATTCTCTGCTCCAACTTGAATGTCTGAAGCAAAGAGGAACCCACAGCCAGCATGAGGTGCTAGATACATACTTCTCTAGATCTAATCTTTGCCTATACCTTCTTTCTAGAAAGCTGGCTTTTACACAAACATTTGTCTATATTTTTTGGGAGAAGAGCTAATTAATTCTCCACCATATATTGTACCTTAAAGCACCCGATTGATTTCCATAACTTACAAGTGCACATCTTATCATGATTATTATATGGTTCTGAATTAGATTACCAATATTTAAAAAAACATTTCAAAATAACTAAATTAAAAAAATTAAATCAGTTATAAGATTCCTGAAGTCAGCAGGTAGTTCTTTAGATATCTGAATCATTTTAAAGAAATGTTCCCCTTTCTTTCAGTTGCTGAGCAACTGAATTTATACCCCAACAAACTACCGTAAATGCTGGCGTATAAGATGACTTCCGCGAGCGCTGAAATCGGCGCCAAAGACGGGGGTCGTCTTATACGCCGAGTCGTCTTATACGCCGGAAATACTGGTAGTTTCCGGCGTATAAGACGAGGTTCTAGGAATGCAGCCCGGCTATAAAGACGGGGGTCGTCTTATATGCCGGGTCGCCTAATACGCTGGCATATACGGTAAATAGATCATGATGCAGACAGTATTACTATAACATTTGTTGTAATTGCTATTCCAGTTGGCTGTTGATAAATACCATAGTTCAAGAAAGAACTTCACTGGCTTTTTAACATATAATCTGTTACCCATTCTTCAGATGGGTGAAACTGTATAAATTAAAGTAATGACCAACAAATCAATGCAAATGATTCCACCAAAATCACCAGGAAGGATTTGCAGCAGAAAATATTCTATTCAATTTTTCTTTGGGGGGTGAGGGGGAATGAGTGAAATAAAGGGCAATGTAGAAACCAATGATTGCCATAATATACCACCACAGTTCCTTGTATTTTACAAATGTCAATACACTTATATTATTAATGACAATAAAGGTTATCTAATCTAATTACTTAAATTATAGCAATTTCCAGGAAACCATAAAACTAAGATTTCTCTTTTATAACTGTCCAGAATTCGAACATTCTGAACTGAGCAGGGTTCCTGCCTATATTTTTCCCATTAAAGCCTTAAAATGCTTGAATAGCAAAATTATTATTAATAAATCTGATGCTCCTCTGGATCTCAACAAGCTATTAAATACGCCTCCAAAGTATTATTTAACCAGTAAGGATTTTATCAAAACCTCAGTCCATTACAAAAAGGTGACTGAAAAATTAATAAAAAAAATATGAAAATAATGGTTTTTGGTTTATTGTCTGTTCCCCTATTTACTTTCAATGAATTAAGACCAAACACATCATGCTAACAGCCAAGACTAGGATCAATTATTGTTCATTATCTTTTCCAGCTGCATCAGATCTTTTTAAATTTTAATTCTTACTGAATATAATGTAATCTCATTAACCTTTCAAGATCTAGATAGAATACTGATACATCCTAAAGGTATTCAAATGAATTATTTGATATTCATCTTAAACCCAAGTAGACTTCTTCAATTTTACTTTTGTTCTTATCATAATCAATGTTTAAAAAAAATGGAAACTTAGCTCATTAAAACTGCAAGTATTTTGTTCACAATGTACTTTTCACTGTTCCTTTTAAAAAGGCAACTTTTAACGAATAATGTATTGTATAATCAAGACAATATAGTTTCCTGGAAACTCGAGTCTTGGAGTTTTTAATTCTAGCAGCAAAACATAAAGCAGAAAAATAAAAGTGAAAGGTAAAAAAGTTAGTTTATAAACATTTCTCCAATATTGCCTTTTAACGTATACCACAATTACTTACTGTGAAACATTTTTGCAGTAAATTAAAGGTGTCCAACATATTCAAATTTATTTTAAAGTTTTAATGTACAACTACACAATAGTGTACTTAATGATTCCACGGCCCTTTATTTGCTTTTCTTTTTCCTTTTTTGGGGGGGGGGAGAAGAGGGGGGAATCACAGTGAGATTTTCATCAACTGCACCAGGCCAACAACTTATAGGAGCATTACAGGAATAAGAGTTCTGCACGGAGGTACATTCCTTTGAGCAGATGAACTATTTAAAAAAAGAGCTCATTTATTCATTTTTTGCTGAATATGCAAAAGAAATTCATAATATGATAATGCAGATTCTGTTCTGTCTTCTATCATATTTTGTAGGAAACTTGGTTTCCATGGACTCTCATCCCTTCAAAATATAAACAGAAGGCCATTATAAGTACACGATTATATGCTTTATTCCTTTTAAAACTATTCATAATGATAAGTAACTGATTATACTTAGTTAATATTTATTGTATGCATACAATTAATGTGCAGTATTTATACTAAAAGAACTTTGCCTATTTTAGACAGTCTAAATAGCTAACGATCTTGCAAATAAATATTAATGATTTCATAATTCCATTTGCATCATCTTCACTGCCCTCTTCTTTTATTCCTTTCCATAGTGTTACTTAATACCATACTTTTGGCTGGTAGGTTTTTTCCCCACTGAATATGCTTTCTGTCTCTGCAAAAAAGTGTCTTGTTGTACCAGGTATGAACTTAAGAAAGTCTGCAACTTAAGGTGCTTACCTGCATGAAGTTGTTAGTGTTCAGAAAGACAATCATGCAAAAATTTTGTTCAATCTAACAAATCAAATTTCACAAGCATTCTACTTACCTTAGAATATATAATATGGGAAAGAAAGGCCTTTGCTCCCTTAGCCAGAAAATAAAAGCATGCACTCTACAAGATTCAGCTGTGTTCAATTCTGGAAGATGCGTCTATTAAAAACAAACAAAAATGGGGGTAATCATGGAGCAAAAACTATTATAAAATATATTCTATATTCAGAATACTGAGCAGTATATATATCATGGACTGATTCTAACTTCACTAAGCTATCTCTGCAGGAGTATCCTTTTTCCTCTCTTTCAGAACACAACAACAAAGTAAATCATTTTTCATGAGACAAAACACTGGAAGAATACTTAAGCAAATTTAAGATAAAGTAGTCCTTGACTATGACTATTTGTTCATTGACCAAAGTTACAGTGACACTGAATGGGGGGAATTTAAAGGCAGGGCCTTGGAGTTCTGGTTGTTGCAATTCTCACAGGCGGAGGACCACAATTTACAATGTTCCTTGCTGGTTTCCCACACACAAAGTCAATGGGAAAGTCAGAAGTCACAGTCAGGTAAGGTCTTTGTTTAATGATAGCATCTTGGACTGCCAGAATTGCCAATGCTAGGTGAGGTGGTCACAAGATGTTACACCTTGACTGCATTATTTAGCCACAGTAATTATGGTCCCAACTGCTGTCATAAAACAAGGGCTACCTACATAGAAAACCTTAATGGACTACATCAGTGGTTCTCAGCCTGTGGGTCGGGACCCCATTTGGGGTTGAACGACCATTTCACGGGGGTCGCCAAACAAGGCTGTCCACCATTTTTCCCCCTTTTCTTTGGCCACGCCCCTGGCACCCAGTGATGTATAAGTGGTTGGGGGTCACCACAGCATGGGGAACTGTATTATGGGGTCGCGGCATTAGAAAGGTTGAGAACCACTGGACTACATTAAGTAGGAAAGGAATATCTATTAAAAGCAGAAAGTCTGTTCATTCTGAATGTGATGTTACACACAAACAAAATGGAAAAAGAATTTCATGTATTTTTATGAACATAGCATGGCAAATGGGATCTTACAATAGACAGAAACATGTAGTGCACAGACTGTTTATTTAATGACAACATTTTTGGAAAATTGACTTTAATTCTTCTAAATTATAAGGTGCAAACCCAGGCATTCATAAGGGTATCTAAAAGCCAAAATCACAAAGCTCTCTGTAGGTCTATTTCAATAAACACTTCAGTTTGCATAACTAGTATTTTGTTGGCCAAGCCTTAATCCTTCTGGGTAGTTCTAAAGAGTCACATTACCTCAAGGAACAGAGGTAGGTAACATGATCCTGACTGATACTTCATCTTAAATTTTTTGAGTCAAGTTCAGGTCTTGGTAACTATGTTCCTGTTGTTTTCCTGGCAGCAATATAATATGGAAATGGTTTGTGGTTACCTTTTGACTTTATGTTTAACTCTGCCTACTTAGCATTTCATGGTTCTGTTCTTAGCATTTCATGGTGATCTCCCATTCAGCTACATACTGGGTCTGACCCTATTTAGCATTTTCAAGACCAGGTTGCTGCCATCTGCTGTAAAGGCATTGTCCTACAACTCTGTAAATCCTTAGCCATTATCGTATTGGCTGGGCTTGATGAAAGTTGCAGTCCAAAACTATGAAGAACTCAGGCTGTCTATCCTTGCTTACCATGTTATGTTCTTACCATATTGTGTGGTATTGATGCATAGTTTGGGGCTCCAAGTACTTGGGTTATAAAGTTTTGTCCACAATTCTTGCCAACCCATAAGAACATTACCTGTATATTCAAGCACAGGAATTAGTAAATAATGTATCCATTAAGCCTTTACCTCAAACCAGACTAATAAACTACTGCTATGAAAGTTTATTTATGGAGAATGAGATACCTCCTGCTAATGCTTGTAGTATATATAAAATCCTACTTACAGAGCCAGCATCCATAAGAAAAGCACCATCCCGATTTAGCTTCTCTACAGACAGCTGAAGAATGGGTGGCTGAGGTATTGTTCTTTCACCAATGTTGAGGGCTCCCTAAATAGATAAAATAATTTGTAATAGGCAAGTAAAACAGTAGATCTTCTGTATTATAAACATAGGCTACCATATCCTGACATGTATCACATCTAAAACATACTTATATCTGTAACATAAAGAAAAATATTCCAACCTTATTTTTTAAACAATTGTTAATGTTTCCAGATAGAATGCTTTGCAAATTATGCATAATTTCTGTTCCTTGCATTATGAAAGGTTTTTACATTTGCAGGAATCATCTTAGTTGTTCTTGAGAGAAACTCAAAGTTAACAAAGTTTAGTTTGTATATAATATATATTATATAATAATATTATTATATAATATAATGGAATAATATTATTCCATTTGTTAAATTTAAATGTACCATTTAAATTTAGTTGTTATATCTGTTTGCAATATCAGATATTCTACTTGCATGTATTCAATTTTAATGTCCTTTGCAATTTACCCATCATAATTTAATATCTCCATTCATTTAAACACACACTAAAATACTGATTGTGATGGCTATATAGTTTGTATATCCAGCACAATATTAGACAACTACATACAAAAATAGAAACAGCTTATAAAATTTCTGGTACACGCCTTATGACATATACACATTCCAACTGATAATCCAATTCATAATTGTCATAATTTATACTAGATCTTAAAAGCTAACTGTTGTATTTATATCTACTCTCAACATCTGTCATATTGCTACTTTCATAATTGATGCCTTCATCTATCGTGTCAAATATTGGTCCCTATTTGCAAAGTTCTGGATTGTCAATATTCACATAAGTAAATCATCCTCAAGGCTTAGATAGGGAGAAGGAAAAAGTTTTCATTTTTCCAAACCTCCAAGACTTGACTGACTATAGAATATCCCAGAAAACTGCTCCCTGAATCTGAAAAGCATGGATATGCATGCATTTATTATAAAATATGCACAAAAATCAAATGTTTTAGTACAATTTTGTATAATATCTGAAATTAGAAAGATACATCCAATGATTTCCAGAAAAATTTAGAGGAAAAGCTTACCTCATCTGTGAGATTGTCAATTCTATACAGATTGGGATGCATAATAAGCATGAGGTACACTAATGGCTGCCTTTTCACTTGACACATTGTAAAGATGCGTTCATCTAAACGGGTATTTGTTTTACTTTGGAATGCTTTCTGTAAGCAAAAGTAGCAGCAGAAAAACAAGACAACTTAGAGTTATGCACATGTCAAGACCATCATTTTCAACCATACAGGAAGTATACAGGAAGTCTGGAAGCTTATTCTCAATATAGAATAGTTTTTCTAATTTTGTTACTGCATATAAATATCTGGAAAAATAATTAACTATGATGCTGTAAATGGTCATCATTAATTTTAACAAAATTTACTTAGATAGGTTCTATTTCTCAGGCAATTTCTGTTTTTATTTTTACCTGTTTTAAGAGAGCCAGGATAAACAATGGAAACAGACGCAATGATGCAGGGGCCATAAGACCTGGTTGCTGAATGGTTAGAACAGATGAGCGATATGCAGAAAGAGAATCTATTACAGCATTCACCAATGCATCTCGAGCATCATTCAAACTTGCAGAAACTGACCGATCAACAGCTGAAAAGAAACAGAACACAGTCCACTTGGCTGTCAAAAAAACAATCATAATAAAAAGTATTATCAATGGATAATAAAGTCTCACTCACTCAATCTCTCTCTCACATGCACACAGATATCCAACTTACCAAAAAGAATACAAAGCAATACTACATAGCATCTATAGCTCTTCATGCTGTGGCACAGTTCCCAATTCTTTTAGATATATTTTGTAAAGCACCTTTATGCATTCTAGAATCATCTCAACCAAAACATTCATTACCACCAATCTTTAAACTTTATACAATGATCGTATCAATGAATCAAAGAATATTGTGCAATTCAATCCAACAATTCAGCACATACCCATATTGGCTAAAAGGCCTGTAATAGCTTGTACATCAGCTCCTAAATAAACATCACTCAATTGGCTTACAACTGGTAAACACAGTGTGTGGACACGAATTCTTCTTTCACCTGTTAAAAAAGTAGTTTTTTAATAGCATTTAAAATAAGTCCAGGATATGCTTCAAGACTACGATAAATTAATTCTATTGCCGACATGGGGTGAAATGCATTATTCAAAGTCATCCGTCTTACAAACTTAAATACAGACTGCTCTTTTCTAACCAAATTTATGTAAAAGACATTTTACTTCCCACTTTTTTCAAACCCAAAGTACTATTTAACAGTGAAAGGCATACGTATCTGCCAATAACCTATGAGGTTCTTAATCATGAAACCTGCCAAAGTCTGAAAACTTTAATAACAACCATTTGGTGTTATTAAAAGCATGGAGAGTATGACCTTGAAATGTATACCGGATGCTACAGCGTGCTTACCTTTACTAGATGTATATAGGAGGGCTGACTGAAAACAGACCACCTGCATATCTGTCAAGCTCTCCTCTACAGACATTTGGACAGCATATCCTGCATCAGGATTCACGTTTGGTAGAGACAATAGATCAGTTGACCGTACAAAGAAGTTGCCATGGAAGGTGTGAATTGAAAGGCCTGTGAGGAAGAATTATTTTTAAAACATTATAATTAAGTTTATAATTACTAGCATTCACTCTTCATTTTCAACAGATTAGGTTTAAGCACTGTCACTAAGCATTTCCATAAAATGTCATGCTCAATTAAAAACACCAAAGCAGAAAAAATGTGTAGGAAATGAAATTTCTGTAGGGCAAACACCTCCCATTGTCATAAAGCTTTTGTACTATTATTCTCAATGTAGTGAAGGACAGTATTTTTTTGTGCACGCAGAGAAGACTTTACCACACAAAAAGGGCAATCTAAATGCAGACGCTCTCTCTTGAACTGCTTAACTTTATTAAAATATTCTTAAGTAAGTTATGCAAATATACTACTAGCACTATCATTATAGTATAGCATTATGTTTTCAAGAATTGAACTGAAATCAAAATATGTACTTTTTTACAGTAAAGAAGAAATGTAGCCTTATGGCTATGTTTTTTTGAATTGGGAAAACATTTGAAAATTGTGGTTAAAATAAGCTTAAGTTTAGAAAAATCACATTCATAAATACAAAAGCAAGACCATTCATGTGTGCAGCTCATTTTGCATTACCTGTTGACTCAAGATGTTCTCTTCCCCCAACCCCCCCCCAAATTTTATCTTTTTTTTTTTACACCAAAAAAGAACATTCAAGGCATAAATTTACACCTTTGGATTTACAATGCATTTTAAAAGAATCCTCCTAGAAATACCAATCTACTATGATGGGCAGACCAGATTCTCCAAAGACCTGAGCCAATTTATTTAACAATTCGCTTCTTATGGATTCTCTTTCCTTGCCATTAATTTGCATGTCTCTTCTTCTTTGTCAGTTATGACTGTATGCGCATAACCTTACAAAAAAGCAACCTTGGCTTTTGCACATGTCATATGTGCATTAATAGATAAACTGCATGTCTTAGCCATAAAGGTATGTCATATCCAGCCTTGTTAACAGAAGGACACCATGAATTAGGCTTCTAAACTGATAATTGTACTTTTGGATCCTGCTTGATTAAGTTACTTTTGTACTGGTCTTGATCCGTAATAATAAATAACAATATAGCACGCTCGGGGGGGGGAAGGGGAGGAGAGCTGCTTCCATTGTAACCATCCAATATACAAAAGACCTTGTCCCTGGGGAACAGGATGCCAGGTTCCCATGATCTTTGAGATCAACAATCTCAGATGATTTACATCTGTGGAAACAGCCTTCACCGATTATACAATAGGTTTATAACATTCTATGAAAACTCTTTCATAAAAACTCATACATTAAGACCGTAAAGAAAGAATAATAACTTAAGCAATATCAAACATCGTTTGTCGGAATTCCAAATTTGGGCTACTTAGAATTTCAAATTTTTACATATACCTTTTCACTTATTTAAGCAGTTATGACAAAGCTTCGATTAACACTGACATATTAAGTGTCTGACCTTTGGTACATCTTATCCTCATGACAGCTTCAAAGCCAATCTTCCTAGTTAAATATCGCTTTAGTTCTTTCTGTAATTTTTCCACCAAAGGAGGATTGTGTTGATGATGGTAAGATTGATAATAATAGACACTACCAGCAGAATACCTTGATATGCATCCTAAAAAGAAGTAAATTTATTTCATTTTTGGACTTAAGAGTAATATAGTATAAAAAGATAAAATGTTTTCCAATAAGGAAAAAAAACATGCACATTGTTTCAAGCCCTGGGCTCACTGCTGAAGTGGAATACATTTCTTTCCTAAAGAATAGGTTTTTAAAAATGATGAACTGAAAATAGATTCAAGTACATTACTGAAATTTATTGCTCCACATTTTGTAATGTTTTAGTTTTTACCATTTAAAATCTATCATTGTAAAATTAAAATTCATTACTCCATTTTACAATAGCACATGAGAAAAGAGTTTTATGCCTTTATTAATCAAGCAGGAAAGAAAGCAAACCAATAGAACAGGGCTTCTCATGCATATATATAAGTTTTATGCAACAGTTTCAATAAAGGATGACCATATTTTATTATAATCATCCCTGCATAATCTACATCTTTAAACAAAGAGTTGCTAAATGGCGAGCAACAACAGTGTCTTACCTAATGAAGCCAAGTCAGAGTACTGCCCACTAAGAAGAAACAAGTCAACTGCAACTTGCTGTCCTGAGCAATCCAAGGCCAATTTTTTATAGAAGTCAGTAGATGGTGTCAAAGGAACATCCTGGTAAAAGGCAAAATATGCACTTGAAGGGGTGTTTCACTCATGTTCGTGCCATCAACAAAGCAATGTTGATTAAAGCACTGAAGCAGCTGCCTCCTCCCAAAGATTTAGCACTGCCTTTTTGTGCCCAATTGCCTCCGTATGCATGTGTATGCACTGAAGATGCTTTCACCAGGAATGCCAGGTAAAGGGAAGTTGCAGCTGTGTGAATGGTTGAAAAGTGATGCTTTGCTCACAGTAGGGGACAGCATTATTCAAAGGATTTATGCTGGCTACTGCCCAATATAAAAAAAATTCTAGTAATATTCAAATTAATGCAAGGATTTTGTAACAAAATGGATTGAGTCTAGGTTTCTTAGTAGTCAATCAAAATTGAAAATGACCATTTAGGCATTAAGTTCAACGGCCTGTTCGATATAGCAAATGAAATTAAATCATCTTTAACAGCCTATACTATATATATATATATATATACATACACACACACACACACACACACACACACACACACACACACACCAGTAAAGAGACATTCAAGAATTACTTTGGTGTAGTGGTTAAGACATCAAGCTAGAACCCAGGAGACTGATCTAGTCCTGCCTGAGGCACAAAGCCAGTTGGATGACCTTGGGCCAACCACTCTCTCTCAGCCCTATGAAGATGGCAATGGCAAGCCACGTCTGAAATCTTGCCAAGAAAACTACAGGGATTTGTCCAGGCAGTCACCAGAGTAAATACTGACTTGAAGGGTACTCATGGACACCCAAAGAAGTTTACCACCTGTCTTGCAATAAATTCTACAGTTGAACTATTCTACTTTTAGGAAGTTTTCTAATATGCAGTCAAACTCTTGCCTCCCTATTACTTAAATCCGTAATTCTTGTACTCTGTACAGAACATGTTCTGCACATTATCTTTTCAGATATATAAATAGTGGTATTATATCTTCCCTTAGTCTTCTTTCCTCAGGGCTACATATGCTTAGTGCCTTCAAATGTATCATCATACAACAGTTTCTGTTCTGCTGGTCATTCTTATTGGCATGTTTTGAACCTGTTCCAGTCTCTCTGAATCATTCTTAAATTATAGTACTCAGAATACTATCCAGAACCCAGTGCTAAATCTGACCAAAGCAGAGTAAAGGAGAACCATAGTTTCCTGTGGTTTGGAAGATATTCTTCTGTTGAAAAATTTGCATTTTCGCACCCCCACTGCAGACTAGAACTATTTTTAAAAAGAACAGTTACAATAAAAAATAGATTTTAAGAGTCACTTAAAAATCAGGCATAAAGTTTGTTTTGCTAACCTTTGTGGATGCTTTTTGGTTAGGCTCTTCCCGTGGTTTGAGGACACCTGCTCCTAAAGATGGAAGCTGAGTTTGGAAGACAGTAATCCGACCCCCAGTAGGTGACATAAGTTTAAAAGCAGCCTGTAATGCAGGTCCCAAAGCACTTTGGGTTTCCAAAGATTTAATAAACATCTGAGGCAAAGTTCTCAATAAATCTTGAATCAGCTGAAAGAAATCAAATTTTCACCTTTTTATGTGCTATATTTATTAATCTTTATATTATCCAATAATTGAAGTTCACATTGCAGCTTTAAAAAAAGCCTAAATAAAATCAAAAGTAGTACTAAGTGAAAGGTTTTTGTCTTGTGTTAAAAATCTATTTGCCAATGTACCACCACTGGAAATCCACGATCGGGGCTTCTCCAATGAGGAGACCTTAAATTAATCACTCAGTGGTTGGTTATTTTATTTATTTAAGAACTTAACTCATCTGACAGAACAACTGAAAGCTTCAAAAGTTGATTTTAGGTTCCGAGCTTATCAGTATGAATAATAACTGATCAGATGCTAAGAGCTTGAAAAGTTAGTTATACAGGGGGTGAGTGTGTGGGTTACACAAATGAACCAGAAAATCAGTAGTTGCCCTCCGACTGTACCAATGATGACTCAGGCCCAGTCTTGTCCAGTTATCTGGGAAGGGTTTGATCAGGTGGCTCTTGAGAAGTAGTCAGGAGTACTGGCTGCCATTTGTCCCAAATCAGGTATCGAACACTTTAACTGAAGTTCTTTTGTTCTCAGGCCAAAATATGTTTTACATTTTATTACACAGAATAGGCAAAATAATATTTCAAAGTCAATTGCTTAAAATATACTTTTGCTTCCACTTACGACATATAATATTCCTCTTACCTCTTTGCTTTCGTTTAAATTTACTAATAAGTTTTCCGGCATGGGTATAAACACATCTACAAGATAGATAAAAGAAGTATTTAATTTATTTTTTATTGTTATCACTGGATTTAATGACTGTTCAGTTATGATAGCCTTGGAAAGGCTGTTTTATAGCCCATAAAGCACTTCCGCCCATCATAAAACATCTAGCTGCCTCCCCCCCCCTTACATGACAGTATTTCAGGCACTCGGCAACCAATTACAGTGGTCCACAGTCACTGGACCGCAATTTGCGAACTTTTCTGCCAATTTCAAGCAAAAAGTGCCCATTTGGGAGAATGGATTTGATTAATGACTGGCATAAAAACAGTAAAAAAAAATGGATTCAGTAATGTGATGCCACAATTTACAACTGCAACCACTTACAGCTAAAATTCCAGCCCCAATTATGGTTGTAAGTCAAGGATTACCTTAATACTTTCGCATGTTTTCTCTACAACACAACCCTTTGAGGTGAGTTGGACTAAGAGAGAGTGACTAACCCAGAGTCACCCAGCCATCTTTAACGCCACCTGTGATTAAAACTCAGAGTATCCCATTTCTATTTCAAAAGCTTAATTACTATATCAAACTGGCTAAATATAAAAATATTTACTCTTTATCATTTGCACAGCATGTTATCCTGTTGACAACAATCTAAAGTTGCTTATGAACTCTTTTCCAGCAGTAATCGCCAGAAGTAACAATGCCCCACTAGCATGTGGTTTACAGTGGGACTTCTTCAGATATATCTGTAGAAGATAATTCTATATACCTGTCACTTTAACAGATTTTTATACACATAGGAAATATGAAAGCAGAGAAATAGAAATTTAGAATTCTGGTGATCTTTTATTTTGGTTTATAGGCATAAACTTCAACTTGTCCTTTAGTTAAAGGCAAAACAAAAAACTTTTTCTTATGTTCAGGATATAATAGGACAAAAACCTCAAGGCTTACAACTAGCAGACAATTGGATAGGACTGTGCAGTAATTCAGATTAGATTCCAAAAAGGAGCTTTGGAACATGGGAAGGACAGAACATTGCTCCCCTTGCAATTATTTAACACAGCTGTGTCTGCAGCTGCTACATTCATAACCCACATTTTCCAAGGGACCTTTTTTGGAACTAAATCCAAAGCATTGCACAGTCCTAAAACTTGATGACCTATATATATATTTTGTATTTTTGTTTTTATCAACCATAGCAAGCATAATTAATTGAAAGAAACTGTGCAAGTTATAATTTAAAACACATGAAAACCACTAGAACGTCTACCACTAAACTGGTTCTTAGCTTGCTTCCAAATCCAAATCAAGATGTTATCACCTTTAAAGCCCTTCATGGATTCAGTAATGTGATGCCACAATTTACAACTGCAACCACTTACAGCTAAAATTCCAGCCCCAATTATGGTTGTAAGTCAAAGATTACCTTAATACTTTCACCTGAGGAGCTGTTTCACCCTGATGAGATAAGCCCACCCCATTTACATCGGAAGAGGCATGGTGGAGATCCCATCGGTCAAGGGATTCCTCCTCGTGGGGTTCAGAAGAAAAGCTTTTTCTGCCATGGCTCCCCAATGTGAAATCCGCACCCACCTTTTGGCATTCTAAAAGGGCCTGGAGCCCTGCCTCTGTCAAATGGTCAGGAACCACAATGGAGGCACATCTTTCTGGAGGTAGTTAACGGACTACGACCCCATCTTCCTTCCATGTGAATCTTGCTTCCTACCTCCCCATTTCTGTCAATTTTAACTAATTTAATGTTACTATTTATTGCTTTAACGTTTTTATTGTTTTTTAATGATTAGAAAAAGCAAAATAAGTGGCATATGAGCTGAATGAATAAAGTAAAATTAAGAGAGAGAGAGAGAGAGAGAGAGAGAGAAAGAAAGAAAGAAAGAAAGAAAGAAAGAAAGAAAGAAAGAAAGAAAGAAAGAAAGAAAGAAAGAAAGCTGGATGTGAAAAAAAATTACTGAGAAAAAATGACTTTTTAAATTTCCATCACTCCCCAGAATAAATCTAAGATGGCAAAACCTCTACATTACCCCAAATACAAACTACTAGAGTCCTGAGAGATCTTCTACAAACTACTGAAATAACAGTATTTATTTCCTGGACCTATAGCCAGAAAGTGACAGTGAAATTGGAAAAAAAAAAAAAAAAAACACCTTGAGAGTTGTGTGTGAAGTGCTTTGCTTCTTTGACATTTCCTAGAATGAAAGTGTGAGAAGACACAATTTCTAAGTGAGCTAAGAGGCAGCCCTAAAACACCTATAGCAAATGAGACAACTATCATGGGGCTACTTTTCCAGATAGCTACTCTCTCTCTCCCTCTCTCTCTCTCTCTCTCTCTCTCTCTCTCTCTCTCTCTCTCTCTGTGTGTGTGTGTGTGAAAGAAAATCTGCAATGAAAATTTTTAAATCCTAGGGTTTTTTAAAAAACAAAAATAGAAAACAGCACAAACCCTGCTTTTCTTGAAGACTGACGCGCAGTCTTCAACACTAATGATTGAGGCATCTTCTACCTAGAAGGAGTGTATTTCTAGCTGTGTCTTTGACTAAAGGACATTTGCTCTTTTTCATTGCTTGCTCTCCCAGCTTACAGTATGACTGAGAATCATTCTTAATAGCAAAGTACCAAGACTTGTTATTTAACTGTTTTTTCCTTCTTTGAAAACAGAAAATGTTCCAATTTAACGTATGACAGAAGTCATAAAGCATACTTCATAAATTTAGTATTTGAGATTATTTCTTCTTACCTTCAATATCTGAAATGATTAACATTTGAGGCTGTGAGAGACCTTCCTGGAGGCTATAGAAATGGATTGTGCTGTCAAATGTTATGAAGCCTATTTTTGTTCTAGTGTTCCCTGGGAGTCTAAAAATGAAGCAGAGAAATTGAGCATCAAGCATTAAATATATAAAGTGTGTACATTTAAGTTGAACATACATATTTTCATTAAACATTTCATGTAACGTGCAAAATGTAGGTAAATAAATTATTCTTCCACGAACAGCTATAAAGCTCCCATTCAGACTGGATCATTGTTAAGTTTCAAAGTAGTGGAATAGAACTTTATGGTGACAATAAGATGACAAAAAAATGGAAACACAGAGAATCACCAAGGGGATATATTCTGGAATGGAGAAAAATTCTACCTTCATTACAGAAAAAGACATTTTATTTGTTTCTTACGAACACTGCAAAATTCAGAGTTCCTTAAGCAAATTATCCTTTCAGATTCACATTTCCTAAAGAATGTACTTCAGTTCAACACACTGAAACCTAGTAAGAAACTACAAACTGCCGAGGTTCTTTAGTTGTTTTTACAAGAAGCATTACTATAAAATATCTTTGCATATATTTTACAGTATAAAGACAGAGCAAGATAAGAGCAACAGAAGCAGAATAGGTCTTTCAGCAATTTGTGTAAATTTGATATTTGCATTTCATAATAGCTATATACAAGATAAATTTTAATAATACAGAGCTTCAAACTGCATTACACTGAAGCTTCAAATTATCTGGAGCTGATGCAATGAAATTTGCATGCAGCAGATGGAATTTTCTGTATCATGTCTTCACTAAACATGTTGAGCACCATTCTTTTCTTCAGTAGGAAAAAATAAGCTTTCATATCCTCTAGCAGTAATAATTTCAACTAATTTTTTTTCTCTAGCTGTAGACCTGCTCGTTGACTTTTAGGTATTTTTGCACATTCCTCTTCACAGAATTTCTTTACCTAATTGGTATTTTTTGGTTTCCTTGCATTAACTGTTTGCTTCAAGTCACACTACATTTCCATTGGGTTAAGATCAGGGGTTTGACAAAACAATGCCAAAATATCATTTTTTTCTGCTTCACCCATTCTTATTATAAGATGAGCCTCAAATCACGCTGCGAGTCATGCTACTTGGATTACAGATAAAAGGTCCATAAACTTTCATCACTGCAGGTTTGTGTAAATTTATGTTATCTGTATACTGATGTCATCATGCAATGAACTAAACTCCTGTGCTATCCTGTTTTTCAATTCAGTGAACATTCCTTAATGACCAATACCCCCTCCTCAAATATTACCATAATTATAATTTTATACATTATGCATATGTGCATACTGACACTGACATACTCCAATCCAACTTAACAATATTTTCATGCTGGGTTCAGACTTGAGTCAGAGGAGGAAAAAGACAATGACCGCCAGCTTCAGAAGTGCTGACAAACAACAAGCAGCTAGCCCAGGTAGCACCAGACCGACCGCTGCCTGAGCAAGCAAAGGAGGTAGGTCCAAAACAGCACACACAGCTGCTAAAGATGAGAGTGCAGAATTACCTCCCTAACCCTAAGCCCTGAACACAAGAGTTTTGCAGGCTGCAAAGAGAGTAGAGTCTTTGTACTCTGTGAGATTGCTCATGAAGAAGGAGTCTCGCCCTAAATGAGTTGCGCTGGGGTTATTTCTATTAAAATGGAGCAGCAAGCACAAGCTGTCCCTTGACAACAACCACCCTAACTCCCATTACCTGTGCCTTGATTTGTAAACCTTGCAATCCTGACTTTGATCCTAAACTGGCTGATGAATCTGCTACAGGCTTTGATCCTCAGACTCCACCTGATACTCTCCTGTGTGCTGCTTTGATCTGGAACACTTCGGGAGGCAGGGGGGGAGGGGGGACTTTATACTGCAAGTGCATCTGTTTGCAACTCTCATTTAGCAAACAGAACAAAATCACCCTTTTGTGTGTTTGTGTGTGCTTGGCCTGGGGCCAGACAGATATTAATTTTAAAGGTTACATTGATAGCTTGAAAAGATGCAAAGGACTCACAGATCTAGATTGTCCAACAAAGTCTTGCAGACAGTCTCTAAGTATCCTGTTTCTATTGCATTATGTGACACATCAAATACAAAGAGGTACACAGGAGGCTGAGGTGGACGTAGCTGAAAAAACAAGACACAATTATAAACATTTAAATGTCCCTCTAGGACCACTTAAATTTTTAGTTAGGTGTAAGGTGGTCTGCATTTCTAATACCATAAATATAATGCACTTTTACATATTATAATCCATTTTTATTAATTCTCTATTGTGAAAATGAAAAGTTTTCATTGTAGTAGCTTTAGAATTGTAGTAGCTGTAGAATTCTGCTTTGTAACTTGTTACAAAATGGAAGAAAAATCATGGTATACCCCACATTTTTTTAAAAAAGATAGCACATGGTAGTATACTGGATTCAGAGATTTAGAGGACTGAGGACCATTTATTGTAAAGATGCAATACATTCGTGCCAATATTTTTTTCAAATATTGGACAGTGTGGATAGAGGTTGAGGTGCTGGATTTGAAGCAGAGACCCCTAAGTTTTGGTCCTCCTTACACACAGAAATTGGTGGAGTGAGAGCTTAATGCTCTCTATGCAGCCCCTTATAGTCTGAAAGAAGGCAATGACAAATTACTCCCACATTTTTGTCACAAAAACTACATGAACCCATAGTCTGACTGAAAGATGCTTCCTCATTGAAAGATCACTTTTTTCTCTGGTGCAATGTAAGATCAATAAGAACTACATAAGCATCAACAAGTGAAAACGAGATAACAAAACTCATGGAACAAGACACAGAGGTCCATAGAGCACAATTTGTTCCATAAGCAAGAGCACCCTGCTTGATTTTTGTTTTCCTGTAATAATCCTTCATAGTAAGTGCAAGGGTGCTTTTGGAAGTTTGAAAAGTTAAGAGTAGTTTTTAATACAGAAGGAAGCTGCTCATAAAGAGCTTGAGAATCCAACCAATTACTTGAAAGTGCCAAGATGTGACGAAGTCTCTAAGATGTATGGTACAAATTATAGCCAGTCACTTTGTCTCAACTGAAGTACTACTGTCTATTATTTCCGTAACAGCTACACAAGAATGGATAAGTAAAAGTCAAATAAAAGAAGAAAGATGCTAAGATACAGTAGTTCTGCACAAGTTGTGTTTATTATGACTATACAGTGTAGAAGATTGGGGAGGAAGGGGAGGAGGGAGGAGAGAAAGAAAGGTGGGGAGGAGGAATCTCACCATGTATTCAGAAGGAGCCATAAACTCAATAGTGGCATTTTGAACTTCAGGTCTTTTATGAGGTTCTCCATAAACTCTTGTCACAGGATTATACATAAACTCTTCAGGAACTATAGGAGGAAAATTACACTTTATAAACCAGCGTAACTCTAAGGTTTATAGTATTTTATATAATATTTTTCAGCCTAGCACAGTGATGGCAAATCTTTTAGAGACCAAGTGCCCAAACTGCAACCCCCAAACCCACTTATACATTGTCGGGTGCCGGGTGAGTGTGGCCCATTGGCTGGGTGTGGCCCATTGGGTAGGTGTGTCTGCGGTGGTAACAGCAGACTGGGTGGGACTAAAAAGTTCAATCAATCAATTCCAACTTTGCAAGATCTTTTTTTTTCCCATAAGAAGTTGAAATTGACTGATTGATTGAACCTTTTTTTTTTTTTGCACATGGTGGCAGAAGCTAAAGCGAAAAGGTTTTATAAAACCCAGCTGAAGGCCTAGGACTGGGGCGATGGCGCGTGTGCCCACAGAGAGGGCTCTGAGTGCCACCTCTGGCACCCGTGTCATAGGTTCGCCACCACTGGTCTAGTAATCTTTTAAATAAATATTTATTCCCATAATATGTTCAACTATCTAAAAGCAGCTAGAGATTAATCTTATAAATGTATCTTACTGGAATCAAATAGCTTATGTGTATGTATACATGTGCACACTTAAGAACTTAATATGAAGTCAACTGATTCTTTATTAGATTTAAACTCAAAAAAACTCACCATCATTCACTCTGTGGCACAAGTTGCATTTCCATCTCCTTTGATCAAGGAAGCTGACAAAAGGATTGATATACGTTCTACAGCTGCGACATCTCACAATTGTACTAGAAGTTACTACAGGCAATTGCTGAAAAGAGGAATGTGTAAGTCATTTGTTTAAGAACATTTGTCATCAAGTATAATTTAATTCTTTCTTTTGACATAGGACTGAATAAATATAATAATGAAAATAAAATCAGCCCTCACATGTATTCTTGCAATGTAATTCTGATTCCAATCTAGTATTTTTTTTTTCTATGAGCTTCTAAATTAAGGAATGACTTTAAAGTCATGCACCAGTGGGAGACATGGCTTTGCAGTTTTCATAGTTGCAGACTATATTCATCTAATGATGAAGGCAATCTGCTCTTTTAATTTGAAAGCAGGAAGGGAAAACTGAATGTTTATAAAACATCTTATAATATATTACCAATAAATGCTAATGGGACTTGGACACTTGATGTGTGTTAAGTGCAACATGTTTAACAATATATGCTTATCCAGAAGATGAGGACAACCTATATAAGATGTTGTATGTTACATTCAAACACACAGTTATGTAAAAAAGAAATATATTAGGAGACAAGATAGACTGTTTCATCTGTAACAACTGATGTCCCATTTCCCACAAGGTTATTCCCTAGCCTAGTAACTCTTTATTATTTGCAAACACAACCATCACAGCAGATTAAAATCAGGGAAGAAAAGTTATGAAAGGCACTCCCAACTTTGATTAAATATTATCTATTGAAATGCCTGAAAAGTTAAATATAAAAAACTGAAAGCTTTAATACTGTCAATCAATCAATCTTTAGTTCAGTCAGTATAAAGTTTCATCACTATTAAAGCACTGCACATTCATATATATATATATATATGTTTTCTGAGGTTTTCGCGGGTGTTTGTATGTAGGTCTTTGGTTATTCGGGTTTTCTTCCGCGTCAAATTGGAAGTGTCTTGGCGACATTTCGACAAAGTCTCATTCGTCATCTTCAGGCTAGTGTTTTCGGCTTCGTGCTTCTAGGAGCACGAAGCCGAAAACACCAGCCTGAAGATGACGAATGAGACTTCATCGAATCGTTGCCAAGACACTTCCAATATGACGCGGGAGAAAACCCGAATAACCAAAGACCTACATACATACATACATACATACATACATATATATAGAGAGAGAGGCGGAGGGAGGGAGGGAGAGAGAAAAGGTATTTAAAGTACCACATGCTGCTCTGATGGGACTCTTAAAAGGCAACTTACACAAAATTCCACTTTTGGTAAAGTCACCTCATCTGAATTTTTTCTAATTTTCAATTCTTCCTCTTGTTTAAAGGACTTAATTTCTTTAAATAACTTGTAATATACCCAGATCAATAAACTAAAATTCCTAAAATTTAGGAGAATCACCCAAAGACAATCCTAGATTTTGGAATTTTTTATTTGTAGAAAATCCTGCAGCCAGAGTTGACTAAATTTGGCCATCACAACAGACTACATAAATCAAAGCAAATTCATGGAATTAATCTCTGAGAGAACTGTGGGTAATATATGCATGCAGAACTCTATTATCATCTAGAGAAGTGTTTTTCAAACTTGGCAACTTTAAGACATGTGAACTTCAACTCCAGAATTATGGGAATTGGGTGCAACTGGAATTTTGGGTGTTGAGCTCTATATTTCTTATATTATGAAAAATATTGATTAGATTAATCTGAATACAAGCTGTGTATTTCTGAAAATCAACACCCAAGTATTTTCAAACATTAAATAACATACCGATAAATCTTTGAAAGGGTGAAGCAGAAGCCCCAGGGGAAGTTTGGCTTTATTCAGTAAGGCCTGAGTCTGAGGAATGTTAGTCAAGGTACACCGGAACAACCTATGTGGAAAACCAAAGGATTAAAAAAGTACTAATTACATGCGTCAATCTACCTGATCTCCACAGTCAGTTATTACTTTTTTCTCTCTTTTTTCAAGAAAGGGGACCACCTCATATCTTACGCAGCACTCCGTTTAGGAAAAAAAACTTCTAACAAATGCAAAATTTTAAATAGTTTGTAGGATTGCAGGAAAGTGCTACAACGGTATTTTTTTTCTTTCCTAGCATTTTCTGCAAGTGCAGGATCTGGATCAACCAAATGCCAACCAATTTGATTGCAATAGGAATTGACCAACCGGCTTGTCATCTGAGCCTGACGTCATGGGCTAAGTGTGTGACTGGTCCAAAGTCAGCTTTCATGCCTAAGGCAGGACTAGAACTCACAGTCCCCTGGTTTGTAGCCTTGTGCTTTAATTGCTAAACCAAACAGTGATATATTAACTTGTAAAATAAGTAGATAACCTGCCCAAATTACAAAGGAAACATTAGAAAGTAATACTATATTTTGAAAAACACACTTCTGGATCAATATTTTATTTATAATATTTATTCACCACCAGAATCCAAAATGGTCTTTGTATACTGTTGGATTTTTTTAAAGCTACAGTACAGTATAGTACAGCCTTTAACTTAATAGAATAATTCTGAGGCTAGAATACTGATCCATATAAAATTTGAATATTCAGAGACAAACCCAAATCAAAAACATATGAGGGGTAAAGTTGGGAACTGAGGAGGAAGAGATGGAGAAAATAGCAAAGTTGACTTCAGGTTTCCATTGCTTTGAACAAAATATTTTCTCACTGAGGAAAAAAAAAATCCAATGCTTTGCTCTGATGAAGCCTTCATCAAGTGCTAACCAAGGATTAGATTCTGTTCATAAAAAATGAATCTAAGGGTTAATTGATGAATTAGATTCATACCAAGACCATGTGTATATTAAGCATACAAGTATGAATAATTTCTATAATATTTGTGTTGACAGTCATAGTCACATGGGGTGGGCCATCCATAAATCTGTAGATAAAGGTGGTTACAATTTTTGCAATTTGGGGGAAGATACAGTTTATACAATATTTAGGTTTTTTTTTTTTAAAGAACAGTTACTATCAAGCATCAAAACAAGATTCCTTATATGATTTTCAGCACTGAAAACTGAATGATTTTAATCTTCAAATGTTTAAATACGTTTACATTACTCAAAACTTAAAAGTGCATTAGCAATATATTCAAATATAGAAAAAAGTACAGTTAAGTACAGCTTTATTTTGATTCAAGCAATTAATTTAGTTCCAAACTTGTGATGGTAAATTGAGTATTCCCTTAGTTGCAAGGCCATAATTTTAATGTACCCAGGTAAAGCGCAAAGCTTTTGCCTCGTCAGTATTGCAGAAATTATCTTCTCTAACTTTTTGGGCTATGAAACTGTTGTGAAGCAATGCCTTGTGCAACTGACATTCCAGCAAAACATACCGACACTGCTGAAAAAAACAGCTGTATTCTAGACTTTAATCACAGTGTATTGGGATAATACAACACATTACGGCTGTAATGGAACCTGCCAATTCCTGTCAAATGTTGTGATGGTCATAAATCAGCTCAGTCATATAACCAACCTGATTTTTTGTGGTGGTTATTAAGTGAATGTGGAAGTTGTAAAATAAATATCAGAATCATCAAACAAACCCAAGTAACTTCTGGTTTTTGGCAAAACTGTCATATAATGCAATGTTATGACCATAGGATGCTGCAAACTGCTGTAAATGCAGCTGTGCTGCCAAGTGCCAGAAGGGCAACCATGTGACTGGGGTGGGTGGGGGGAGGGGAGAAAGTGCCAGAATTTTGGAACCAGGTCATAACTCCCTTTTTTTTAGATAGGTCACAACTAAGTTGAAGACTACCCATATACAAATTTAAACCTCAATTATCATAACCATCATATAAAACTTTATCTATCTGAAAATTATTCAAACAACCCACACGTGTAATTAGCACATCCCATCACAACAGAGCAAAATAAAATCCATACAGTTTGCTATCTCTTCTGTTCACCAATGAACAGAAGAACTGATAACTACCTGTTTCTTTATGATCCCTCCCTGCTCTCATATTTGAAAAAGGAGATTATGCAAGCTTCCTAATTTTTATATTAGCTTACAGGGCTCAATCCTAAATTCAGCTGTCAGTTTATCATTTTAATTAACTGCAACCTCCTTACAGAAGGTACTCAGGTACAATTATTCAGAAAGTATGCAGGTACAGTTGTTATATATAGGAAGAACCATGTGAGCCTACGTTTTTTTCTTTACATAGGATTAGTTGGAACCACTGGAAACAAATTAGATTTTTATTCGCCAGTGATAATTTTTTTTTATTAAGAGTTATATTTTTATTACAAGTATTATCTTTTTGATGGACTAAAATTATTTCCCCAGTGTTTTTGTTTAAATATACTAAAAAAAATGTAGCGCTTTAAAACACCCACCCAGAAAGACACTAAGGAGAACCTTCAAAATACTAGAAATGGAAGAGATTTATTTGTTTACAAGCAGTATTATTTAACCTTACTCGGGATTGCAGTTGAGCTTCTGAATATCTTCATGCACATTGGGAATGGGTGCTTGCAAGGGGGTTGCAGGAAGAATATTTCTTTCTTGAAGAAGGTTGATAGGTCTTAATCCTTCAGGCTGAAGACTTAGTCCACCCATAGATGCAGCTAAGGTATTTGCTCCCAAGCCAGACTACACCAAAATAATAATAATAATAATCACATTTATGAAAGACATTTAAATCCATGCGTTGATACCATGCATGGAGGATGGTGGGATTAATATTAGATGTAAATACATAATTCATAAAGCACTTATGATAGTTTGTCATCCTCAATAACAACCATTTGTTTAGAGACTATTCCAAGTTACAATGGCACTGAAAAGTGTCTTTTCACAATTACAACTGTTACAGCATCCCCATGGTCACATGATCAAAATTCCGATGTTTGGCAAATGATTCATAGTTATGACGCTTGCAGTGTTCTGGGGTCATGTGATCCTCTTTTGTTACCTTCTGACAAGCAGTCAGTGGGAAAGCCAGATTCACTTAACAACTGTTACTAGTCATGTGATCAAAATTTGGATGCTTGGCAATTGACATGTATTTATGACTGTTGAAATCTCCCCAGGTCATGTGGTCATAATTTTTAAGCTTCCCAGCTGGCTTTCAACAAGCAAAGTCAACAGGGGAAGCCAAATTCACTTAATAATTGCATGAGTCACTTAACCGCAGGGATTCATTTAACAAATGTAGCAAAAAGGTCATAAAATGGGACAAAAATCACTTAACAACTGTCTTGCTTAGCAACAGAAATTTTGGGCTCAATTGTGGTTGTAAATTGAGGATTACCTATATTTTGTTATAAACTAGCTCACCATTCTATTCACACTTAAAACCAATCTAGATATAAAAGCCCGTATTTATTTTTTAATGTATTTCACTAATATTAGTTATTTGCAATTATATTATATTTATTTCCTTGTGCAAGCATACATGGGAAAACTTCCTCTTTTTATTTGAATAATAATTTAAATAGGCTGTGTGGAGTTCAAAAATTATATACTGATCTAGAATTATCCATTGATAATTCCAGTCGAAGTCCAACATCCTAAATACTGCACTACACTAGCACCAAATTAAAAAATAAAGTGTATTGAACTACACAATCCTATTATGTAGACAACACTGATTATTAAAAAGATTGAAGGAAATAATGAAGGCCAATGTTTAGATGAAATGCATTTTTTTATTTCATAATGAATTATTAATAACTAAGGAGAGTATTGCAAGAGGGATACGTTTGAAATCTGTATAATCACATTAAGAAGAGAATCTAGTCCATTATAAATGTATGTGTAAAGCACAAACCTGAATGAGAGGGTGGAGCTGACTTGAGTGGGAAAATATAACACCTAATGCTTAACTCAAATTGGAGGCGTATCTCCCCTTACATTATGTCTACAACAGCAGAAAATATTTAGCAATAGTAGTTTAATGCCGCTGAGCTAATCTTACTCATCAACTTAGTTGGTTTTAACACATTTCTTCCTAGGATTTTTTTTAAAAAAAGAAAGGACAGAAATACATCAGAGAAACTTTTAATACAACATAGGAAAATAAAAAACCAGTTCTTTTCATATAAAACTATAAAACACACCCTCTTTTTGTAAACCAGCCAGTTCTAATCTAGCTATAACTAGTATCTGATTAGTCACAGAATCATGGATTGTGAGAAATATCATGTGGGCAAACAACTCCAACCCCTTCTTATAGATAGGAATCCAAATCAGAATATCTCTGATGACGGTCTAGCCTCTACTTGAGCACCCCTAATGAAGAGGAGTCCACCAATTCTGGGTAATTGGTTACACAGTCAAATTATTCTTACTGTTAGGATTATTTTTTGAAATATTCAATTTGAATCTGCATTTCCATAACTTTATATGCAACTTCCATAACATTATATGCAATATCAAGCATATCACATGTGCTCCTTCTAGAGGAATACAACTTTGTCCAAAGCAAGGATCACCTCAAATGCCTGGTCCTGTTTCTTTGGGTAGCATTTAGCCTGTAGATTCTTAATATCTTGCAAATCAATCAAGACTGACATATAGGTGTGGTGTGTGATTTTTAATCAATATGTTTGGTCTTGATGAAAATGCACATTATGGTATAGGTCAGGGGTAGGCAACCTTGGCTCTTTTATGACTTATGGATTTCAACTCCCATGCTGGCTCAGGAATTCTGGGAGTTGAAGTCCATGAGTCATAAAAAAGCCAAGATTGCCTACCCCTGGTATAGGTAGTCCATGATTTACAATTGAGCCCAAAATTTCTGTTGCTAAGCAAGACTGTTGTTAAGTGAATTTTGCCCCATTTACAGCCTTTCTTGCAACCATTATTAAGTGAATCACTACAGCTGTTAAGTTAGCAACATGATTCTTAAGTGAATCTGGCTTCCCCATTGACTTTGCTTGTCAGAACATTGCAAAATCAAGAGGACTTTGGGACACTGCAACTGTTATAAATATGAATCAGTTGTCAAGCAGATGAATTTTGATCATGTGACCCTGGGGATGCGGCAACAGTCATAAATGTGAAAAATGGTCATAAGTCACTTTTTCATTACCACTGTAACTTCAAACAGTCACTAAATGAACTGTTATATGTTCAGAAGTACCTGTTTACATTTCTTCTTTGAGGAAACTGAGAATCTCCACAAACTTTCCCTCCATATTAATTATTAGTATGTTCTTTTATTGGACAAAATGCCTATATATTCAGAAATCTTACCATTAGGCTAGTCAGGGTGGAGTCAGCATAAAGCCAATCATGTTTTCATATAACAACCTGAATCTAAGGAAGCTGCAATACATATTTATCATTTTTAATTTGCATAATCACTTTATAAGAACTCTAGCCCGTTCTTCACCTCTAAATTATTCCTCAGGAACCATTAATTTAAACCGTTTAACATTTTGTTCATTTATATTACATGTTTCAAAAGCAGACTTCCACTTATACAATTTAAGTATCTTTTCTCTCTACTCTCTATCTATGTAAAATAAATGGTAGACATACTGGTCACCAGGAAAAGGGTGACTGACTGCCAGTGCTGCCCATTCCATTATTAAAAAGACTATCTGGATACAAGTCTATGTACCCATCCATGTCTTGTCTACTGTCTTTCTTGTCTAAGAAGTGCAAATTTACCAAGCAGGAACTTCTATGTTTCAATGTAGCACTGAAAATAAGATTTACAGCTGATTTCTATTTTTAAAAAATTTGGATCTACCACCTTAAGAGGCATTTTATCAATATCAGCTCTAAAATTTGAGCTCTTTAATTGTGGAAGAATAACTTCTACAAGGTCAACGAAGCCTTTGTGGAACGTAGAAAAAACATGAGTAAAATTAGAAAGGATTTACCTGAGGGAATTGTTGAGGTCCTCCTGGATACTGCATTCTTGGTCCTCCAGGTGGAGAAGCATTTTGGTAGCCTGGGGGCAAGCTGGGATAAGCAGTCCCAACATGTTTGTTCACTTTAATATTTTGAGGAGCAGGAGCATGTGGAGTTGCTGAAAGAATAAATACACTGAATGGTAAATGATCTTAATATTCTAAACTTAAGGTTTTTTACCATTTTTAGTGACATACAATATTTAGTTATATAGTTATAAAGACAAATGAATAAAAAGTTGTGTGTTTAAAAAAAATAATTTTAAAACTTAAAATACTTTCAGAAAAAAGTAATATCACTCAAACTAAAATTACAAACATAACTTCTAATTTTAATTCCCCTCTCCCACCATTGGCAATAATATCTCCCCTAATAACTTAAATCATCGCATTCAATTGGCTGTCTGGATAAAGCTTCAGTTAAAGATCTGTTTCAGCTTTGGAGATCCTAAGCATGCTCAGTCTTCACACTAATAAATACACTTATGTCACCATACAGTATTCTCTTTTTTGTTTTCATTAAAGATTGTGCCTTTTCTAGTCACACCTTTTGAATGGGTGTAAGTTACGAATGGAATTCTCATGTTTGAACAAAAACCTAGTTATTATACTGTAATATTTATTTATGGGTCTGATATTTGGCACCAATCCAAAAGAACTCTGAATGGCTTATACTGCTCAATTTCAGTAAAAAAAAATATTAAAAAGAAAAGTCCAAAACAAAGCAAAACAATTAGCAATTGCAGCTGAATTTTCAAAATGTTTCATGTCTGAGGAACATTACAGTTGTTTAATGTAGTTAAACAAAAGAGCTATATATTCCTTATATTGTTTACTTCTGTCAGAACATGTACTCACCAATATTAATTCAACTGTGGTATAGGAATAGTACGGGATGGTCTTGTTTGTTTAGCTTATCTGTTCTCAAATACAATAGTTTGATGACAGTCTACCTGAGCTATTTTCAGTATCATCACTGGTGACTATCATATCAGAGTTAGCTAAAAGTATTGTTCCAGTGAAGACTTGGTATAGTTCTCATAACTTTAAAAAGAAATTCTATCATACAGAAACAGGAATACAGTAGATCATTGTAATAAAAACCAGATTACAGCAAGAAGCAATTGTTGGGAAAAAAAAGATTGTATTCAATTAACTTTTCTTTTCATGTGATTAAGAACAGATACTTGAATAACATATAAGTAGTCATTACCAACAGTAATTGGGACTGGGAACTCCAATGCTAAGTAAGACACAACATCTCATGATTGCACTGTCTTATGACAGGAGTTCCGGCAGTCCCAAATGCCACAGCTATATGAATCCTACCTGGCTGCAGCATTCTCAAGGTCACTTCACCATTTGCGATCTCCTATTAACTTTCCATTGACTTTGCTTGTCAGAAGCTGACAGCAAAGACTGCAAATAGTGATCATATGACCATGGGCCACTGTGGTGTTGTAATTGCAAGCCAGCTTCCCAGCAACCCAAGCTGCAATCACATGATCATGATGTCCAATAACACACATTATTACACTATCTGGAGGACCACATCAAAAACTGCTAATGGAAATTTGGGAACAGTATCATGAACAAATAGATGGAACTATCAGGGCCAAACACTATTATTTCCAGTTATTTCTCTTGGCAATATTCTCAATAACAGCTAGGCTGATCCTTAACTTGGGATTTCAGACACAAGACACTTTTTTTCCTGTTAGGATTTCATCTGCATTTTATGGCCCAAGTTCAATGTTTTTGAAGTAATCCAGTCAGTACCCAAAGCTGCAAATTTGCTAGCATCATTTCTTTTGCGCACGCATTAGTTTTCTTTTGTACATTACTCTGGCAAGTGTTGGCATTGTTTTTGATCTAGGAATGCTAGTAACATGTTTTCAAAGTTTCAAAAAAAAAATCTAAGTTGAATCACAGTGCTCAAGCATTCAGTTCACCAATAGGCAAAAAAAAATATATATTGGTGGTTAGAAATAGACAAAATAAACTTTAACCACACATTAAAAACAGATTTCTTAAGTAACTTGGAATTGGGGTGACTACTGCCTATGTTTAGAAAGAGCGTAGGAAACTGGATCCGATATTCACAAAGCAAAAAGAAAGCTGAACTATGTCCTGTAGTGTGATGCAAGCTAAACATTTGAACCAGGGGTCAGAAAATGGAAAGGAAATAAAAACAGCAGCTAATAGAAATTTCCATGCCAGCAATGGCATTTCAGCAACACCATGGGACTTTGAACCTTTTGTGGTATATAAAACTATGCAGTATGAATGTTTTATACAATCTCAAATCTACAATAAATAAGACTGGTTTGCAATAAATTTTTGTTCCAAATAACAGACATTCAAACATAAATGTCTTGTTACAAAAGGTCAGCACGGAGACAGTTGGCCACTACTTTGTATAAATACAAGTGGATTGCACAAGTTGATTGAAAGGCATGTCATGTTGTCCAAGATTATTGGAAGAACCATTGAAATGCACAGGGAGCATGGCTTACGTTTGCTTTTTCCAGATTAGTTCTCAATGCCCAGAGCTTGAGCGTAACTGAATCAGGTGCCGAAAGCATCACCTGAGCCTGCTAAAGATTTCCTAACTGTTGACAATGAATCCAGCCATTCATCACAAAAAATATCAAGCACAAAAGATGTATATTTTATTGCCCTGAAACATTCTTCCAACCAAAGACCGTACAGAGAGTTTTTAAGGAAGTGACAGTTATGGTAGTGGATGAATTAGATAAAGAAAGGCACAAGAGGACTGAAAAATTCCTATCATCAATCTTCAAATTTATACAACTTAAAAACAGAAAACAAAACAAATATTGGCAAAAAGTTGGCCAAAGCTGCCCAGAGTTATCCTACAGTTAGATGGGCAGCCAATACATTTAATAAACAAACAAACAAGCAGTTTCATCACTCTGAAGTGGACTAGCAGTTTGAGAGTTGCAAGTTGGTGATTTCTATTAAACTATTTAAAATTGTGGCAAATTGGAAATTATACAGAACAATAACTATCCTGTGCAATGACCACAGGATAAGACAATCAGATAGTGACAGTCAGATAACAGCAGAAACTTTGTGACAAGACAGCATGATGGTAATTAGGACAAGGAGGAAGATCTGTGAATCTCCACAATATAAGTTGTTGATGTTGATGTTCAACAATATACAGATAGTGCTAGACTTACAACCATTCATTTAGTGACAATTTGATGTTACAACAGCACTGAAAAAAATGACTTATGACCAGTTTTCACACTTACGACGGTTGCTGCATTCCCACAGTCATGTGATCAAAATTCAGATGCTTGGCAACTGTCTCACAGTTATGACGGCTGCAGTGTCCCAGGGTCATGAGTTCACCTTTTGCAATCTTTTCACAAGCAAAGTCAATGGGGAAGCCAGATTCACTTAACAGCCATATTACTATCTTAACTGCAGTGATTCACTTAATAACTGTGGCAAGAAAGGTCAGAAAATGGGGCAAAACTCAATAAATGTCTCACTTAGTAACATAAATGTTGGGTTCAGTTCTGGTTGTAAGTTGTGGACTACTTGTGATGTCTTTTAATGAGTCCTTATCTGATCATGAAACTGTTTTTTTGGAAGATAATTCAAAAATAGCATCCTTCTAAGATCCAATTAAAATTAAAAATGTTTTTTTTTCAAACTAATCGTTAAGTAGCTTTCTCCTGTATTAAATGTTAACTGCCCGTTTCTCTTATTCTGTAATTAAGGCAAAACTGATTTTTGATAGGCACTGAATGCAGTGATGGGATTCAGCCATTTTGCAACAGATTGGCAGAACCGCTAGATAATTTTTTGTTGCCCAGGCCCAGTACAGACTTCCGGAAGTGGCATCCATACAGAGAACCGGTTGTTCACATATTTGACTCCCCAACTGAACGTACTGTATAGTAAAATGCTGTAGTTTGGTCCTGTACTGCTGTCTGTTTGATGTAGACTCAAACATATGTAATTGTGAAATGTACTGAATGCAAAATGAACTATTAAAACTTTTATGTTCTGTATGTATTTAAGGTGGGGTTACTTTTGTTTATTTTTGTTTAGTTGTGTTCAGAAGGACAACATTTTAAGTTGAATGAACATTCAGATTTAATATTACACCTTCCTCTCCAACATCCATTAAACCAAAGGTAATCCATTCAATAAATATGTTAGCTGATATTTTTAAGACATCTAGAACAGTGATAGTGAAAAACATGTAAGCACTGTATTTTACTTCAGAGATCACTGAGATAGAAACTTGAGCTTGTTTCTCAAACAAATTCATTTTTAGCATAAATTGAAGAAAGATAGATAGAAAAATATTTGTAAATTTTAGAAGTCAAGAACACCTTCCAAAAATGCACAGTTAAATGAAGTGGAGCTGGTCTGGTTCCAAATATCACAAGTATTTATCAGCTTGTTTGGTTCTAAGAGCATTTTCATTCTTAAGTAAATTATCCTGAAAAATCCGGTCTTCATTATTCTGCTTCATACAGGTAGTCTTCGACTTGTAACAGTTCATTTAGTGACTGTTCGAAGTTACAACATCACTGAAAAAAATGACTTATGACTGTTTTTCACAATTGCAACCACTGCAGCATCCCTGTGGTCATGTGATCAAAATTCAGTTGCTTGGCAACTGACTCATATTTATGACAGTTGCAGTATCTCAGGGTCATGTAATTTACATTTTGCAACCTTCTTACAATGAGTAATGAGCAAGTCACAATTTAAACAAGCTGCCTCTATTAATGATTTAAATCTAATATATCAAGCATTACACATACCTAACAATTATTGTAAGGTATAATTTCTATAGATACAGGACATATGTTGGATTTGATTAAGATATAACCTGCATGACAAAAGTTAAATCAAGTGCTTTTTGACCTAATCATTGTGCAAGACATTTCATTTTATGGCACAATTCAAGTGCTTGTTATAAAAACACAACCAAGGATAAGTCTTGCAGGAGCAACATTTTTAATTTAACAGTAAACAGACATTTTTGATTAATAGTCCACCACAAAGAAAAATGTTTTAGCTCCAATATTCCTAATAGATAAATGTCAAAATTGTTGATACTAACCTAACAATTTCATTATAATTATAATTGCAACTTTGTCTTGAGGTTTCATTTTAAACAAATTGATTACATCCTGTTCCTATCTTGATTAAAAACAGATTTTATAGTGCTGCTGAGTTAAGTATTAGAATATTGCTAACTGTTAAACTACTGCAGATGTCCATATGACTTTTAAGACACCGAGTTATACATAATACATAATTTACAAATGAATGTTCAATTTTCAATTCCAGAAAGTACATTTTCTCTATACCAGGGGTAGGCAACCTTGGCTCTTTTATGACTCGTTGACTTCAACTCCCAGAATTCCTGAGCCAGCCATTGAAGTCCACGAATCATAAAAGAGCCAAGGTTGCCTACCCCTATTCTATACCAAAATAGTTTGTATTTGTGCTATGTGACTGTTTTGAACCGATGTAGGGCAGGCAGAATAGAAACAATTAATTCCCCATTTAATTTACTTTTGAGCAATGGAAATGGAGGAAAGACCATCTTACCCAGGAAACCACCTCCTTCTATTGCATCATAATTATTCTGGACTGATAGCCCATCATTAGCGGAGCATGTAGTATCACCTATGAAGAAAATAATCTGTTAGAAATACATAACACTGATCACACTGGTATCATAACGTAGATTGTAAATCATAGTTTATGGCATAGCATTATATGTAAATGAGATCATCATGGCCTATTCAATATACCATGGTTAAAATAAATCATGGTTCAGCAGAATACATGGACCCGGTCCTTGAAGTTAAAAAAACTTGGTCCACAAAAATTTATGCTATACTATAATTCAGCCTACATAATTTATGTTTTTGCTTCTAATTGGCTGAAAGCAACTTCCTCTAATATCTGCATTAGTGCTTACCTTCTTGCATACTTGCTGAGTTCTGTAGAGCCTGGGATGCAGTGCTTACTGGGGGAGGAGCTAATGGGGGAGCAGAGGGATGTGTATAAACTGGACTTCCAACTGCAGAAGGTCCTAAAGGAGGTGGAACTGGCAAATAAATTAACAGATTAGCAGGCAATGGAACTGTGCCGACAAGAACCAGAAGAACTTAAATCTAAAACAGTTTCTCAATAAATTTATTTTAGTACAGAATCTGTTCATTTCTTAGTTAGCACAATATGTGAACTATCCCTTACAGCAGGGGTGGGCACTATGGTCTCTTTACAACCTATGAACTTCAATTCCCAGAATTCCTGAGCCAGCCACTCTGTTGAAGTCCACAGATCATAAAGGGGCCACAGCTGCCCACTCTTGCCTTACAATTTAGTGCTAGGTATAAACCAAACCATTACTGCATATTTGAAAAAATATATAGCAAAGTAATTGAAGTTTAATGTTATACATAAGCAAAATCATAGCTCTTATTTAATGCAATTACCCCATGAGAGCTTGCTGATGAAGACCAAACATATTACTACAGAATCATACAGTATGTTTTTACAGCTAGAGATGGATTATTAGGTTTCCAATTCCCTTAAATACTATAATATAGTGACTCACATACAGTTGTTCTATACAAATATATGTTCTATACAGGTGTATTGTATCATTTTTTAGACAGAGACTAGAAGTACAAAACATTCAACAAGCACTGAGTTCAGCAACACAGGCCAGTATATCCATTCTATAGCAGGGATAGAAATGTTCTCCCCATCTACCCTTTTTCTCAGCACCACATCTGTGCTACTTATCTGTGGCAAGATAGAATCAATATTTGCAAGTTCATATTATCAGGTTTGATTATATATTAATAATCTGTGATTAACTGGCATCCAAATAGCTCCTGCTTAAGGAAGGTAAAATTGGCATTTGTCAAGGCATTTTTTTCAGGCTGCCCACCAAAATACTTAAGTAGCCTCAACTTCATTATATACGTACAGCCCATCTATATATTAAATTCTACCATGCGACACAGTTCTACTATAAACCTCTTAGGCCCCAGAACTACCAAAGAGCTGAAAATTCACTAAACAGCAAATCAGCTGCCAGCTAATGATTCACATTAAACAGCAAGAAAATTTATTACTGCTAATGAAATAGAACATTATTGCTAATTAGGGTTGGAAATCTTATTTGTTTAGCGTACAGGACTGAGGAATCCACAACCCTCCAGATATAATGTTCTTTATCTTTGGCTATGCTGGTTGATGCTGCTGAATATTGTAACCGAATTACAACTTGCAGCACCGTCAGCCATCATCGCATTTGAAAGAGGCTAAGCTGGTTTTCCAACTCTGATATGAAAGGGGAATCCTTCTGACACAAATTTGTGGAAACCTAGAAGCTGTAAAGGAGGAGGAGACTGAGGGAATCCCATTATTTTAGTACAAGCCCACTTATACAACACTCGGTTTCACATTCATAAGCACATCATGAATACCCGGGATGAAAAATACCTAGGATTTTCCCCTACATGGGATACAATGATATAATCTGAGAATTCCTTCCTTTTCCTTACCTTGCCTTGTATAGGTGTTTTGAACTGGAGGACCTCCAGCAGAAGAAACATAATGATAGTTTGTGGGCAAATTTGTATTCCCTGATGGCAACAATGGTGAAGTTACCGTGTGAGCAAAATGATTCGGTTGAGAACCTACATTAGGTTGAGTCAAAGGATTCTGCACATATTGCCAGTTTGAATTAGCTGAGAGATTATTTCCAGAATAAAAACTACCATCAGAAGTTGATATAGCAGTTGAGTTCTGCAACAAAGAAGGCATTTGGGCAACAGGACTTGGCTGTGATGATGTCAAAGAAGACTCCATTGGGATTCTATTAAGAGTCTGACCAGAAGGTATATTCCAAGATGTACCATGGCTATATTGTCCGGAGGTGGCATGCAGAGGATTCTTTGTTGCAATTTGCTGATTATACATGCTTGGGATCAAAGAATTATGTCCCTGTCCATCTGATAAGTGTGATGAATTCATCAATGAGCCTGGCACAGGACCTAGAGGAAGACATTTTCAATTAATAAATGAGATACATTTTTGTTGAGAAACCCAAGGCTATTTCAGTAATTGAAATAAAGTGAGTAAGGCTAACCACTAACTTTATTTGACTTTATATACTGCCAAATTACTCAGAAATCCCACAGCTTTATTATTATCTGTAGTTCTACAATAAAATGGCCAAGAATTTAAGATGTGTAAGTGAACCCCCACAACCCCACAAGTATAAACCCTCTCAATAGCAATGGCTTATAACAAGTATTAGGGAAATGCTGGAGAAGTCACAAAAATATCCCAAATGAAGCACAGCTACTCATGAGCACCATCAATCTCAGCATTACAGTAAAATATATAATTTTAAAAGCATGCATTTTTGTCAACAGAATAATCATTACCGAAAAACAGAGAAGAACAATTATCTGCATATAGTAAGGAAGGCTGGAGGCATGATAGTGTTACAAGGCCTCAGAGAAGAGAAGATACATTAGCCCAAGGGTAGGCAACCTTGGCTTTTTTATGACTCGTGGACTTCAACTCCCAGAATTCCTGAGCCAGCATGGCTCCTCTTGGAAACCTCTCTCTTTCCCCTCAGCATGGCTGGCTCAGGAATTCTGGAAGTTGAAGTCCACGAGTCATAAAAGAGCCAAGGTTGCCTACCCCTGCATTCTTTGCCATGTCCAGCTAGGTATATTTTCCAACAGCATGTGCTGTTATTTCATTATAGTCACAGGGATTCTATATTTTATCAGAAGAATAACAAAAAAGAAGCTGTTTAACCTTTTATCAATAAAAAGTAATCTTTTCCTCCAAAAGAAGATTCAGGAAAATAAATATTAATATGGAAAGTGGGACTAACAGGATGGGAATGTAGAGGTCGCTTTCCCACATAACTACAGGGAAAAAAACCCCTCCCATATTGTCCTTTATTTGGCATAAGTTATAAAAACTCAACCAGGATCAAGTCCATTTGTCTCGATCGTATGCATTTATTTTTAATAATGTACTACTAATTGAACACAAGCATATTAAAAGACCATCTTTAGCTTGATCTCTTATTCTGTCCTAATACTTTTACATTTTTCAATCTGATTTTAAATCCAAGTACTTCAAAAGCTGCTCTGGATCCCCAAATTAAGTCTAATAAAAACTATTCAACTAATCAAATCATGTGCATGTCTTTAACGCTATATAATTGGTCAAACATTTATATAGGAAGCTCTGGATGATAACCAGATAACATGAATATGCTGCTGCAAAAGATAACAAGACTGGGGGAAGGAACATCATTCTTCATAGTTCTTATACATTTGCACATGGAATTCAGCTTATGTTTTGCTTTTTTTAAAGTTTATCTCTCTTCTGCTGTAAGAACGAGTTATTTCTTCAAATTTTCTGCAGCTTTCAAACTGATGGCCCCCACTTCACATCCAGGGACAACAAGAAGTAGGCCAGCATCTTGTGTGGCAGCTTCAAGCAGGCCAAGTCTACAGGCAGCTGCACTTTTAGCCTCACACAGAGGCATCCTTAACCACATCAAACAGTGGTAGTGGCAGCCGAAGCAGGTCCTGTCCCTGCCTGCAATTTACATCAATCTAAGGTTATGGGTGCAGCTATGTCTCGGTCTTCCCCCTGTGGGTGCAGATGCTTCTCACCCTCTTTTTAGGAGGGGTCACAACTAACAGCAGGCTCTAGCAGTATTGGACGTGTGCTCTCATTCTCCCAAGGTGCCCCAGAGAAAGGAAAGACCTTGCAGAGGTAGGCAGTGATGGTATCTGTAAACAACTGCAGGGCAACAGCTGGGTCCAGCTCTAGCAGAACAGGGGGATCCCATCTCCCATTGAAAGATCCCATCTTTCAGTGCCTTCCCACTGCAACTTGTCTGCCCTCATATTCTCCATGCAAGAGCCACTCACTACACACCTAGCTCCAATATAAACAACAACTGCATCTGTAACTGCATAGCAAACATGGTAGCCAAAGTGAAACGATGGATAAAGATGGATAAAAATGATGGATAAAGGTTAAATTAAAAAGTCAAGTTTAAAATTAGATTGTACGAGTTTTCTTAAAATTTAACACAAGCACAAAAAGAACATAACTTATAATATACTATTTTTTTTCTAACATGGGAGCAAGAAATGTTAATAGGCTTGTTAACTTGACTCCTCAATAAAAGTGCAACGACTAAGGTTAATGAATAGAGAATATGAGATAAGAGGATAATTTGTACAAAAAAGAATCTATGCAAAGATTGGAGAACGGAGTACAAAATGCAGCAAAAAGGGAACAGAACACAGTACTGCAGTTTTAAGCATTTGAGGACTAAGTTTATTATCCAAAGCTATATTTAGTAAAAATTAATAATATCAATGGACAATTAATCCTACTGTATTTGGAAAAGTTTTAATATAGTTTTTCAATCATAAGACAGACAAATCATTTTATTCAAAATCTGAATTTTCTGATTAAGTACACACTTTCTAAAATTGTACCTACCTTCCTTAGAATTCTTAAGACTATTTAAAGTTATATCAAAGAATATACAAGTAGTCCTTGACTTTCAATAGTTTGTTTAGTGACCGTTCAAAGTTACGGTATTGAAAAAAGTGAGTTATGACCATTTTTCACACTTACGACCGTTGCAGCATCCCCATAGTCATGTGATCAAAATTCGGATGTTTGGCAACTGATTCATAGTTATGATGCTTGCAGTGTCCTGGGGTCATGTGATCCTCTTTTGTTACCTTCTGACAAGTCTGGTCACATTGTGCCAATTCAAACATCAGATTCTAAAATGTGCTATACCTGTGTAACTAAATACAGCATCAAATTATATAATAAGTCTAGAAGATATCTCCTTTGGTGCAAGTGTAAAAGCTTAAATGTTCCCATCATTCTATATAATAATTCCCATAAAATTTTCAGGATCAAAGCCCATTTCTTTATATAGAAAATGGCTAATAATTGCAAAGCAGTGATAACATAAATTTTCCTATTACTTCAGAAATAAATTGGAATTCCAATTATGTTCCTTTGTACCACTTTAGTTTTCCAAACCAATATTCAAAATCAATGCAAATAACCTTATGACTTAAAATTTTCTCCAATGCTCAGAAAACCACAGATTGGAATTTCTGCTGTATACAATGCCTAATTCCATTTCCTCTTCCTTTTTACATAGGATATCAGATATTACTTTCAGTTTTATGGAATTACAGATAAGGGATTGCTTGAATAAAATTCATGAAATCCAGTCTTGAAACTGACAATATTGCTACTCTCCTCTACTGGTTAAAGCAGAAGTGTAATAGAATAACAGGCTTGAAACATTGGTGGAGAATGATGATGATGATGATGATGATGATGATAATAATAATAATAGTAGTAGTAGTAGTAGTAGTAGTAGTAGTAGTAGTAGTAGTAGTAGTTATAGTAGTAGTAGTAGTAATAAAGTTGGAAGGGACCTTGGAGGTCATCTAGTCCAACCTCTTGCTTAGGCAGGAAACCCTATACCATTTCAGACAAATGGCTGTCCAGTCTCTTCTTAAAAACTTCCAGTGTTGGAGCATTCACCACTTCTGGAGGCAGGTTGTTCCACTGGTTAATTGTTCTAACTGTCAGGAAGTTTCTCCTTAGTTCTAGGTTGCTTCTCTCCTTGATTAGTTTACTAATGGTTTACTATTTTGTCTAGCATAAGACAAACATGTTTCTTGTTTAGGCTTGCCCTGATTATAGAAACAAGTGGAATTTGTAATTCCTTAATTCAGAATTATGCATTTTCAATAATAGATCATTCTCATATCAACTGCTCACCTGGTATCTTCTGTATGTATATTGTTCTATTTAAAACTGCAGTTTACTCACAATTATAGACTTTACTGCTACAGAAGTTGAACAAGATTTTGGGGAACCAAAAACTACATTCAGAATTCTGTGCAAGAGAATGAAATGACTTGGAATACATAATAAGCTGAAAAATATATAATTAATTAAAAATATAAATTAAAGAATTACTTCTAACATGGCTATTTTAATTGATGCCTGAAACACTAAAGGACAAATTTCTAGACCCTTCAATATTTTAAACTTGCCGCGTCATGTGACGTGTCATGACTTCTCCCCCCCCCCCGTTGCCGGAGCTGGGGTGGGTGCGGCTTCCGTGTGTTGCATCCTGCCTGCATGCTGGCAGTTTTAAATCATCATAAATCCATAGACAAACTAAAATACAAGACCTACACCAGTTTAAAATTGTTTCAGCTAAAGATAATACATTATACAGATAATCCTTGACTTACAACCATTTTTTTAGTGACTTCAAAGTTACAACAGAACTGAAAAAAGTGACTTATGATAATTTTTTATACTTACAACCAGTATGAATTTGTGGCCCCAAATTTGGACACCTATTTATGATGGTTGCTGTGTCCTGGGGTCATGTGATCACCTTTTGTGACCTTTTGACAAGCAAAGTTAATGGGGAAGCCAAATTTATTTAACAACCGTGTTACTAACTTAACTGTAGTGATTTACTTAACAAGAAAGAAAGGTTGTAAAGTGGGGCAACACTCACTTAACTATCTTGCTTAGCAAGAGAAATTTTGGGCTCAGTTGTGGTTGTAAGTCAAGGACTACCTGTAGCATCTAGGGCTCTTTCATTTGAAATACAGAGATAACATGATAGAAGAGTATAATATTATGTATGCATGGTATGGAATATACAGATGGAAGCAAGTTTTTTCTTTCAACATCAGAACTCAGTTATCTACTGCAGGGCTTTTCAACCAGTGGTATGGGTACCATCTGTGGTACATTGGCACCTGGCAGGTGGTACGCGACCATCCTAGAAAAGTGGTAGCGGGGGAGGGGAATGAGAGCAAGGCAGGTGTCTTGCTCGGCTGTGCCTTGGGGGGCACTTTTTTCAGTGCCATTGTAACTTCGAACAGTCACTAAGTGAACTGTTGTAAGTCGAGGACTACCTGTACTTTATCACTTTTTTCCTTTTTTAGGGGGGGTCATCAAGTTTTTGACACCTTGCTAGGCAACTGGTGGTACTCGGATATTGCCATATCCAAAAAGTGGTACAATGGGTGAAAAGGTTGAAAAGCTCTGATCTACTGTATTGGAATTAAATACGTTGAGAATTCAGGACTGATAAAGGAAGTATATTTTACATAATGTATAGTTAAAATGGGATTCATTGCTTCTTCTAGCCAAATTTATAGCTAATAGTTTTGATAACAGGTAGTACACCTAAATCGTGGACTACTTATACCGTGATTTGCATCAAGACCAAACATATTGATTAAAAATCACACACTATGCCTATATATCCGTCTTGATTGATTTGTAAGAGATCAAGAATCTACAGGTCAAATGCAACACACTAAACAATACCATTGGCTTTTATTCTTTATACATCTCCATTTGTTGCCTACCAACTCTAGCACAAGATCCTGTTACAATAAACAATCATGTCATTCTCAGCTTTGTGTCACTATCACTTTATCATTCAGGAGGCCCATGTTGATTTAGAATTCTGCACTTCACATGTAATACGGAAACTCTCACATAATGTAAGCTATGATCATTAACTCCAAATTGGGGTAGTAAAGGGGAAAGGACAAAGTTCTATATTATAGAACCCATAAATTATCAGCTAGTTTCAATCTTTTAAAAAACAATTTAAAACTCCTGTAAGTACTAACAGTGCTTTTTTTCAACAATAACAACAAAAAAAAGTGCCGGAACTCACACACATCATACAACCCGCCTTGCCTACCCTACAAGGTTCCATCCAAAAAAGGTGCCGGAACTCCGTTCAGGGCGTTCTATGAGAAAAAAAGTCCTGAGTACTAATATAACTTGATTATTTTCTTAGACTTACAATCTTAAAAAAAATACTAATTACTATCAATATCCAACTATGAAACTATACACTGAAACACAGCTGCTCTATTTTTACCAGAAAAACACACAGATAAGCACACAAATGAGGCAGAGTTTACACATTTCCTCAGCCTGCCTCATTTGAGTTTGCTTTCCAGAAAGGAGGAGACATTGAGCAACTAGTCAGCTGATGGATTTTTTTTTTTGATTCTGCCAGCATAATGAACTTCTTAAACCAGGAGGATTTGATTATTATGCACCACATTCTTTACACCCACTGATCACAGAAAGCAAGCAGCATCCATGCTGTATGCAATTCTCTTCATAACAATGCTTTCTTTTTATAACTGTAGGATATTTTTGCTGAAGAATGCTCAGCGGGGAAGCAGTCTCCAAAGGGTAATTGGTCAATTAATTGTACAGAACACAAACACTGGGGACTTTCGGGGCATCGTAAACCACTCCGTTTTCTAAAGACATACACTTTCTACACACACAGTCAATAGGTTATAAACCCACAAAACTTGAGCCACAATGATCTCTTAGCTCATCAGGTACTGCCATATATTCTTCTACTCATATTAACATATTTCTCCCTCCGGGAGCTGCCTTCCCGTGTCTTCGGGTTAAATTCTGGGAATACTCTCAAGGGGCACGCATTTCATTGTTAGCAGTATCACCAGGGAGTGGTCCATGAACCTTACAGAGAGCGTCAATCACTATCTCGGCTCCAAGAACGAGGTAAGAAAAGCCTTCAGAGTTGCTACAAGTGCTGATGCTACTGCTACGACTTAGTTCTTCTCCCAGGACCTCCCTATTACGTAGCGCCTTCCCATCACGGGTGCAATCGCGAAAGGAAGCCAAGGCCTCGGGATGGAAACGAGGGAACCTGCCTAGCAAAAAGCCCGTCGTCTTCTCGAAGTGCCATTCAGCTCCGGGAGGGGCGACAACCGAGGGTCGACATACACCGCCCCGCGCACGGATCCTTCGCGCTCCTGGCAGCCCATATCCCTCAGTGGCGTGGCATGACCGCCCTGCCGAGAGGAGCCAGAGACACTCAAGTCCTTTATCCAGTGCGACGGGCCAGTGGCCCCTAACATGACACGGCTGCGGCCGGCCTCACTCACCATTGCTATACGGCTGCGGCGGCGGCGGCTGCCCGGCTCTAGTAATGCTATTATATGCGGGCCGTCCCGGCTGGGCCATAGTGGCAGCAAGAGGATCGCTTCGCGGGCGTCTCTGAGTCTTGCTCCAGCGCCAAGCCCGGGAAATGGAGGGGGGGAGAAAGCCCTGCTCTTCACACCGGAAGAAGGTAAACGGGACCGCGCACGCGCACTCAGTACACGTGGCACTTCCGGAACGGAGGAGCCCGCATCTATAGGTGGGGCTTAGGGCTGTAAAACGGTGGCCTTGGAGGCGCGATAGAGATTTAAAGGGATAGCGTTCTGGGGACGTCATCAGAGTCAGATTTTGCTTTAAAAGCGTTGACTTGACAGGCAGGATTCAGGCTCACCCTGCTCAGAATCTAACATTAAAAAGAAAAATTGATCCATAGCTCCTCGGAACCATTAATGGGTAAATAAATAGTCTTCTAGGATGCGGAGAGTGAGTTTTCTTCAATCCTGGGAAATCGGCTAACCCAGAGGTTTAGTATGGCGTCAAGTTGGGTCAAGTGTTATGATATATACAGTATGTGACATGTAAGCAAACATGGACAGTTCTATCAGCTGCAAATTTATAAAAGGAAAAGCTTTCATCTAGGACAGTTTTCTAAAGTAAAATCGCACTGGCTTCTTAGGGCTTCATAGGCAGGTCCGTATAGGGGATTTTTATTTTTTTGCAACAGTACAAAAGAGTTGCCACGCTGCATCATCTGGCGTGATTTTTGAGCTTTCCAGTGTAGCTTATGTTGCAACTATGATATTTCTTAGACTTCTGCCACCTAAGCAGAGCTGATGTGGCTTAGTTTTTTTTTTGACATCAGCAGTGACACCCGCAGAATCTTGTACTTTGTTGCAATACAAGTTCCACTTCTTATGTACATACAGAAAGGGAGGGCTTGTTTTGCAATAGAACACTGCTTTCGACTTTCTTCCCTTCTGCTCCCACAGAACCCACTACATTTAAGGCAGGTTTAGCTAGGTGACAAATTCTAAAACATGTATTTAAAAAGATAAGAGTATTTTAAACGTTTGATATTTTTAATCCAAACAGCAAGATTTTTTTTAAAAAAAAATTTAACAGTTTAACTGAGGAAAAAATTAATGGGGATGGTTACAAAGGGGAAAAATCAAAGCCATCTTCTCAGCTCTATGTACATTGCAAAAATTCATCTTTTAGATCAGGGGTGTCAAACTGCCCACCGCGGGCCGGTTTCATCATACCAAAGCCGTGCCCACCCCATTTCCGGCAATGCAAAGAGTCGCGATACTTCGTGACATGTCACGTGATGTGGCACCAGTGTTTTAGATGATTTGCTGATCTGATTCTGTTTAAATGCTCTATTCCAGAGTTCTGTTGCTGCATTAAATTGCACCCAGATAATAGGATGCTTTAGCAGAAAAAAAAAACCCTTATAATTATCTTCATATTTTGGCCGCAATCCAGAGTTAGATTATCTTAAACATATTCAAGTCAATTGGTTAAGATTTAAGAGGAATAGTATGTCAAATAAGTATTCTAAACAAAATAGATAAATGTCTTTTGAAATGACAAACAAGTCTCTAGATTGCAATGGGATAGAAATGTGTTGATAAATGAATACACAGATGAAATATTCTGGGCTAAACAAACAATATTATCTATGAAATTTGTATTTTGGGAAGAAGAGTGAGATATGTTACTGCTACTATGGCACAATGTCCATTGTATCTAAATTTGCTTATCCTGGGAACGGGGTGGGGAATAGACAACTAAAAAATATGGTAACTGCAAGATTACACCATCCATAGAAACACCATTAGATTCCCACCAATCATGATTGGCATTGTTTCATTATTTCATATCAAAGTTTCATTGATAGTGTCATATGTTCTCCGTGTCTTCATTCAAGACACCAATGGCTGTTGTTTTTGACAGAGCAATGAAAAGAAAGTTTTAATTTCAGCAGGAAAAGAAAGTGTCATAGCCCCATTTGCTTTTTGGGTTTTGGTAGAAGAAGCCATTATTGATAAAAATGATACCTCAACTACAATACCATTTCATGGAACTAGGAGGTAACGCCTCTCTTTCACCACACTTGCCCTGTTATGGCCAGGTTATTATCTGTCTTAAAGGCTGGCAGGTTGGGATCATCTGAATTTGAGGGGTACATTCCTCCATCTCCCCTGTGGAGCAATGTCCCCCTCAAATTCAGATGATCCCAACCTTCCAGCTTTAAGACAGCCATAAAATTCCGACCATAATGTTACATGAGCCTGTTTTAGCTGTGTACTATTGGAATTATTTCCCCCCAGCAGTTTATCTTATTAACTTTTACACTGTTATTTTTTAAGTCATTTAAAGGCCACTCAGAGTTGCTTAGCAAGCAGATTATCATGGAAATTGAAGAATTCGTAGAAAATCAAGTCTACACTTCAAGTAGTACAGAGATGTTCTTTATTGATTCTACCACAGTCAACCAATCTTTTGAAGGAATCTATAGTAACTAATGTGACAATTCTGACAACGTTGCTTGTTAGGCCAGACTTAATGCCAAGCCAAATACTTAGCCTCATCATCTTCTCTTTCCCAGTTCTCTGCCTCCCTGCTTTGGCAACAACACCCATTTTACAACCTCCTTTTACAGGTCAGATAAACTGAATGAACAGAGGAAGAATCGTTGTTCTTGGGCTCATCAAATAAGCCCTTTCACCTGCCTTCACATCTTCATTCCTGAAATCTGGACCAATTGTGGTGGAAGAAAGAATTCCATATTATCTATCACTCCCTGAAACCACAAAGCTTGTAGCAATAGGCATAGAGATACCCAACTTTAGTTGGCAAATTTCACAACCTGACAGCATCCCAGAGAGCATTCCAGTCACTGTTGCTACTTAATACAATTGTTGGGTCTCCTATTGATCCACACAGTGTTGAATGGATTCTATTCTTTGGAATGGTGTGATACAAGATGAGAAATAACTGCCTATCAGCCTATTTATGGTCTTTATTGTGTTAATGTATGCTGTGGAATAATGAGCCAGTTTGGTATAGTGGTCAAGGCATCAGGCTAGAAATGAGGAGACAGTGAGATCTAGTCTCATCTTAGCACAATGCCAGCTGGGTGTTTTCAGGCCAATCACTCTGCCCTAGGAAAGAGGAAATGTCAAACCACTTCCTGAAAAAACAAAACCCTGTTTTTTTAAAAAACCCTACAGGAACTACATAGTAAATACTGACTCAAAGGCAAAAAGAAATGCTATGTTACATCATAACGTATGCTTTGTTGTGGTGACATGAATGTGGCCACAATGATCTATTCTTTTGATTCCAATGAGAAAGATTTTACTTTTCAACAAAAATTCAGTTCCGCTAAAGGTGTCTTCAGTTATAAGATGATTCTTTAGTTATATAACATAAACAACTATGGCATCACAATACTAAATACATCCAAGAACTCTAGATCTTGATGAGTCTGATGTTCAAAAGTTCATTAGAATCAAAGCATAGGAATACATATTGTATTAATCCATGGTCTCTTAATTCTTCTCTCTCTCTCTCTCTCTCTCACACACACACACACACACACACACACACACAAATACAAATGCACGGAAACCACACCATTCTAAAAAAGACCAAATAGAGCAAACTTGAAGCGCAATATGTTAATCACAGGTCAATATTTCAGCATACTAATTAAAGTGACAGTTGAAAAAGGAAATAAACTTCTTCAAATTTATCATAGAAAGAAATAATAATAGAAAAAGAATTATGAAGAATTATGAGCATGGCAAGAAACAATAAATAGGTGGAGGCTTATAGAGGAAGATCCAAACTTGAAATAAGGAAGAATTTCCTGACTATGAGAGCTATGAAGAGGTGAATAGCCAATCTCCTTGAGTTGTAGGGGCTCCATGATTGCAGGTTTTCAAATAAAGCTTGGAGACATTTACAGTATCTGGAATGGTCAGAAGATTCCTACCCTGGGCAGAAGGTTGGATTAGAAGACTTCAAGTCTACTTCTTTAGAAGACTTCTATAAGTCTTATAGCCCAATCTACTCCAAAGGTTGTTTGTTATGGGGAAAGAAACAGGAGGTGGGAGTGCAACGCCTGATAATACTTATTTAAGGGGCTACAATACACAGTTATTTTTGCTGCAAGCGATATAGATACTTAGGCACTTCCATTTGAAGCATTTATTAAGCATTTGTCATATACCTCTTCCCCATTTCATTTTTGTTTCTTACAGAACAGTAAAGGCAGAATTAGATAGATAGATAGATAGATAGATAGATAGATAGATAGATAGATAGATAGATAGATAGATAGATAGATAGACAGACAGACAGACAGACAGACATATATATATATATCATTGGCAGCATTGTCTGGAAGTATCTTCTCTCCTTTACTAGGTTACCTGCAGAACTCTCTCTATTTCATTCCTAAGATCTACTTATCTAATGCCCTCGAATGTCTAAAGTAGTCAGCCCGCCTTAAATAGATTGAATTGCCAGATTGGCTTCCTAAAACTCTGCTGACTGGGTTGTCAGTCTAACTTGTGCGTCCAGTTCTTTCCATTTCAGCCGTGAAGGGCAAGTTCCGGAGGCTGATCTACGGAAATCCACCATGAGGGAGGAGGGGAAAGATCCCAGTCCGCCGCATGTACCAGATCGCAGGCGTGAGCCGGTGGCCGGTTCGCTCACACGTCCCGGAAGGAAGGAAGGAGCCGTGGAGGGGCGGAGCGGAGAAGAGGCAGAGCAGAGAAGAGGGGAGGCCTCCAGGCTGCTGTGTTGGTAGTTGTGGATGAAGGGTGCGAATCTCAGGCTCCACACAGCGGGTGAGTGGCTCGGCTCGGAAGGAAGGAAGGAAGCGATTGGGATCCGGCTGGGGAGGGAGGCTTCTGGATTTGCTCCCTTTCTCTTGATCCCCTTGACCCTAGCCTCGATCTCATCTGCCTTTCTGCTTTATTTTAATCCGCTTCCCTTGGCCTCTACCTTTATTTGTGTCTCTTGTTTTCTTAGATTTGGTTGCCCCCTCCCCCCTCCCCGCTGTGTTCTTTATATTTCACATTACCTGAATTTTCCCACGCTGATTCCATAACTCTCCCCACTACCATTACTTTATTTTGTGCTGTATACAAGTGTACGTGTGTGTGTGTGTGTGTG